TTCTCAGATCAATCAATAAAAATATATTTCTAAGAGAATTATCTAAAAAAAAAAAGAAATAATTTATTCTCCTAGCATCTTTCTTTTTTTTTTTTTAAATATATTTTATTGATTTTGTACAGAGAGGAAGGGAAAGAGATAGAGAGTTAGAAACATTGATGAGAGAGAGAGTCATCGATCAGCTGCCCCTTGCACACCCCCCACTGGGGATGTGCCCGCAACCAAGGTACATGCCCTTGACCGAAATCGAACCCAGGACCCTTCAGTCCCCAAGCCGACGCTCTATCCATTGAGCCAAACAGGTCCCGGCCTAGCATCTTTCAAATATACCTGATCACCTTCTTAACCATAAGCATTTATTGTCCCAACTTTCCCTCTTAGCACTGTTTTACCTGCAGCCCACATGGTTTGATAGGGTCACTTTCGCTTTCATTCAGTTAAAAATACTTGTAATTTTTGACTTCCTCTTTGATGCTTGAATGTGACTTGATTTCTGAATATTTGCAGATTTTCCAGATACCGGTCTATGATTTATAGTTTAATTTGGTTCTGGTCTGAGAGCATGCTGTGTATGATTTCCATTTTGTGATCTTCCTTTTTATTGCAAGGGATTTTTTTTTTTTTCCACCAGTGGATCCCTAGAGTCTTAGCAAAGGGCTTATTGCCCACATAGTAGGTGGTCAATACATATCTGTTGAATGGATGAATGAATGACTGAAACCCTCATCCCCTTTTGGACGTTATCAAGAGATAGTTGCTCAGAGATGTTGTTTTCCCCCTGAGGTCACACAGCAAGAATGGGGCAGAGCCGGGGTCAGCCTGGGCTTATGTTATACCCGGTGGATGGGACTGGATTCCACTGCCAGAGCCTCCGTGCCTACTGTGAACCAGGTTTGGAGGGATGGCCTAGGGGCCATGTGGCCATCACTCCCACACAGCGAGTCCATCCACTGCACTTCTCTTGCTCCAGGGCCACTCCCCTCAAAAAACACCCTTGATAGGCAGAGATGCTATTGATCCTCTTGGCTGGCGTACCCCACTTCTATCTCTATCCTCTCTCTTCCATGACCCCCTCAAAACCACACATATGCTCCCCCTGTGTGCTTCACGGGCGAACAGCTCTTTCTTCCTTCCCTCTCAGACTTTCCCGACGTCAGAATGAGACCATCGTTATCATTCACTGTACAAACAGGGGACAGCCTGGCCCCAGGTTAGCTTTCTCTGGAAAGGAAGGCTAGTCTGCTGCCCCTACCCGCTCAGCCTGGGGCCACCCACCTCCCTCTGTATTGGGGACAGTTTCCCACTTGTCAAGACGGCTGATTGCCACTATTGAGCCTGTGAGCTGAGATGTAAATTCTGTTCTGTGGAAGCCACTCTTGTTCCAAATCACAGAACCTCAGCCTGCTGCTCTAATCTGAACGTGGGCTGGATGGGATTTCCTTGTTGTGGAAGCCAACCTGAGTTGTGCTTCCTTTTATTGGTAGTGGAAAGCCCCTACAAAGGGGAATTGGACTATTGTCCTTCCGGGTATGTAATAGTTTCCTATGGTTATTATAACAAATGATCACAAATTTAGTGACTCAAGACAACAGAATTTAGTTCTTTTATAGCTCTGGAGGTTAGAAGTTCAAATTATTTCATTTGGCTTGAACCAAGTTATCAGCAGGGCTACCTTCGCTCAGAGGGTCTTGTGGAAGAGTCTATTTTCTTGCCTTCCTGAGAGTCTCCCTTGCTAGGGAGAGCTGCCTTCCTGGTCTCATGGCCTCTGCCTGTGTCTTCAAGGCCACCAGTGTGGCTATAGCTTCGGAGAAAGGAGAGGGAGCCCTAACTGGTATGGATCAAGGATGCAGGGGTCCTCAAACTTTTTAAAGTGGGGGCCAGATCACGGTCCCTCAGAGAGCTGGAGGGCCCGACTATATGAACTACTAATTCCTACTGTAACACCTCGGCTGCGCTCACTGCCCAAAAAACCTGGCAGGCCGGATCAGACTCCTCTGCGGGCCGCATGTGGCCCGCAGGCCGTAGTTTGAAGACGCCTGGAAAGAGTCGGCCCACAAACCAGAGGGCTGGGGTGTGTGCAGGAGAAAACTAGTTGATGTGTCTCTCTCATGTCCATGTTTCTCTCTGTCTGTCTCTCTTTCTGTGTGTTCCTCCCCCGCCCCCCTAATTCCTTTCATTCTCTAAAAATGGATGGAAAGAATATCCTCAGGTGAGGATAAAAAAAACCCCAAAAAAACTGAGGGAGGGAGATTGAGAAACAGAGACACAAGGAGAGAAGGCCATGTTAAGACAGAGGCAGACAGCCGGCATGGCTCAATGGATAGAGTGTTGGCCTGCAGACTCAAGGGTCCCAGATTCAAGTACATTGCTTACATCACAGCTCTCCAGCACTTATTCCTTGTGTATACTTGAAGCTTTATAACCCTTGACAAACATCTCCCCATTTTCCTCTCGCTTTGGCCCCTGGCAGCACCTCTCTGCTTTTATTAGTTTGACTATCTTGAGGACAAAGGGGGAAGCAGGTCGACCAAGGTGGAGGTTATGACTGTAATTCAGGTGAAAGAGGATGGTGGCTCATACCAGGAGGTGAGAAAGGCCCAGATGCTGGATATACTGTGAAGGCAGAGCCAACTAGACTTACTACCGTGTTTCCCCGAAAATAAGACATCCAACCTACTTACAGGTTTCCTTCTGATTGAAATATAAGGCATCCCCCCCGAAAATAAGGCCCCCTCCCAGGCTCTGTCTCAGAATGCTATTGCTAAACATGAGAGATTTGGTCCGCTGATTCTGAAAGAAATGGAGTCACAAGAAATTCACCAGGAAATTCAGGAATTGGATTGTTATGATGATGTTCCAGAAGGTGATGACATGATTGTCATTGAATAAATGAGTAAATTCTTGATACTGTAGGATTCACATCTACCGTACTACCGTACCATATACAGGTAATAAATTTCCTTTATTTTCATTTAACAATAAATGTGTACCGTTTTCTTCTTCATGGAAAAATAAGACATCCCCTGAAAATAAGACCTAGCGCATCTTTGGGAGCAAAAATTAATATACGACACTGTCTTATTTTCGGGGAAACAGAGTAACATTTGACCAGAAGAGAGGAAGACTTATAGGGCTGAAGGTGACCGATGTCTTGGGGGGTAGAACCGTTGGCACCTGGGCTGAGCTGAGACTTTTGAATGGAACACCTCCCTGTGACCTCCAGGTGGCTTAGGCTTTCTCACGACATGGCCCTGGGACTACGTGTTCTGACACACCCAGGTGGGAGCTGCATGGCAGCTGTCACTTCCACAGCATTCTATTGGTTATAAGAGACTAAGGCCGGTCCACATTTAGTGGGAAGAGAATTAGACCCTATTCCTTAAGTACACCAAGGTCACATTTCATAAGACCATGGAGGATATGAGATATGCTTTTGAAAATTCCCTTTGCTATAGCCATGGGTTGAGAGAGAAGGGAGAAGCCACAGATAATTCTAAGGCTGTTGGGCCCAAAGGCGAATGGTAGTCTTTTTGAGAAATACAGGCTGGCTGCCCTCTTGAGCAGGTTTCTCCAAATAGCTTCAGGCTGGTTATTTCAGTTTGATCACAGGAAACTCCCATATCCTTGCTGTACCAGAAGAGGCAACCACTCCCACTGCAGCCCTTTTTTTTCTGACTATCTTTTCACTTCATGCTGTGTTGGGTGTGAGTCAAACAAAACCTCATCTTTTGGCTTTCCCATGGGGTAGGCAGACCTCTTTCTCTCTTCAACTTTTTCTTTTTAAATACCCATCAAGGTTAAACTAAGTGTGAAAACATCCTTTGCTATTATAATAGCCAGGTTTAAAGATGGCCCTAAGGATGCTTACATCTTGGTATTCACACCCTTGTGCAATCTCCTTCCACAATGACTCACAGGCGGTCCATTTGACAAACAGAGATAGTGGAGATCATAATTTGAGATTGTAGGTTTAAACCATAAAGAAACTGTGGTTTTCACCTTAGCCTCCACTATGTGCTGAGGACAACCAATCAGCCCTTTGGGGAGGCTCCCAGGGTGAGGAACAGTGAAGTCATGTGAAGGCTCCTTCTTGGAAGAGGCTCCTTTAGCCCCAGTTGAGCTTTCAGATGATGGCATCCCTGGCCAACAAATTGACTGCAAACAAGTGAGCAATCCCAAGCCAGAACTACCCAGCTAAGCTGCGCTTACATTCCTGAACCACAGGATGTATGAGAAAAGTGCTATTGTTGTTTTAAGTCATTAAGTTTTGAGGTAATTTTTTTAATGCAGTCATAGCTAACTGATCCAGTATCCTAGCACTTCACTTTGGAATGTGGAAGTACTTAGCACTTGTCATTTTAACATCCTTTTTTTAAAAAAATATATTTTATTGATTCTGTACAGAGAGGAAGGGAGAGAGATAAAGAGTTAGAAACATCGATGAGAGAGAGTCATCAATCAGCTGCCTCTTGCACACCCACTACTGGGGATATGCCCGCAACCAAGGTACATGCCCCTGACCGGAATTGAACCCGGGACCCTTCAGTCCCCAAGCTGACGCTCTATCCATTGAGCCAAACCAGTCTCGGCAGTTGGCGATTTTTTTTAACATCTTGTTGTAGATGTTTCAACCTCCATGAGGTCTTCCCTGATACCTCTTTACATTAGCCCCCATCCTATTCCATTACCATGTTTTATTAAAAAAAATTTAGTCACAATGGGAAATAAAATAAAAACTATAGCATTTATTTCTATATTTCTTTACTGTTTTTTTGTCTGTCCTGTTTTGATGGGAAGTTCCATGGAGGAAGGAGCTTGTCAATCTTTTCCACCCAGGGCTTGGCACTCTGAAGGAACTCACGTGAGAGGGCTGTTGTTTCTGACACTTCTATGCATGAACTGATACTGGGGAGAAAGGTGTGTGTGGTCTGGGGTAGTTCCCCTCAAGGTAAATTTGCATGTACTTCTCTTAAAAAAGGGAACTGAGAAACCTGAGAAGGAAGGACAGGGGGGCAAAGCTTGAAGGCTCTGGATGCACCTTCTCAGTCTCTTGTGTTAGTTACAGCCATGCACATCCTGTATACTGACTCTGGGCGCCGGGACCTTCCAGGTACAGCCCTGATCAGACTTGGGTTGGAAGCCAGGGGTGGTCAGGAACCAGGTTACAGCCTCTCCATCCTGGGGCTGAAAACTTGGGCCTGAGGGACAGAGGTGGAAATGAGCTGGGTGCTTATTTACCTTTCCTCTTGAAGGGACCAGAGGGGATGATGATGATGCTGATGATGCTGATGATTATGAGAACATGGCGCCATCCTATAAGGACCTTCCTCCCAAGCCAGGTAAGAGGACTCTTCAGAGGCTAGGTGAAGAGATGTGTGGGATGGAGGGGGAGCTAGGTATCCAGGGGACATTAGCTGGGCTTTGTAGACTCAGCCCATGCTGGGCACTCTGATGGCGGGAGTACTCATGCCTCTGGACTGCCCTTGATGCTATGTCAGGTTGGTGAGGAAATCAGTTCTGGGAAAAATCTCAGGTTAGCAGATCTGAACAGGGATAAATCAGTGATTGGGGAAGTCAGGAGAGAAATGGAGGGCTCGGCCTGCAATGGTAGGAAGATTGGGGGTCAGAAGAGAGGATGTTGGAGTAGGGCTTACGGATGAATAGGAGTTTATTATGAAGAGAAGCCCAGAAGAGAACTGGTGGATGCAAAGACTCTTAGATATGAAGGCCAGTGTTTGAGGAACTGAGAGTGTATTGTTGGCTCCCCAACCTCCTCACATTCACACCTAGGGTCAGATTTGCCTTCAGACTTGGGCGGTCCACACCTGGCTTGGGAATCAATAAGAGTCTGATAAGTGGGTATAAAAGTGGAGGTTTTGGAAGTTTCCCTGAGTCTGCTCCCACCAGGGCCCTTGAGGGATGACTGTGCTGCCTTGGTGTCCTTGGACAGGGGTCACTCCATGTGGGATAAGGCTCCATATTCTCCACTTCTGTGTCCAGACTGGGGACAACTTGAGAGGTCTCAGGGCTCTGTGGGGCTCAGGATGAGGTGGAAGGTAAACTGAACTCTGCTGTTTTTTGTTTTTAACATATTTGCCATTGATAGAATATTTTTTAAAAATATTTTTTATTAATTTGTAGAGAGAGCAGAAAGGAGAGGGAGCGAGGAACATCAGTGTGAGAGGGAAATATCAACTGGCTTCCTCCAGTATGCCCCCTACCAGGGATTGAGCCCACAACCTGGGCACATGGCCTGACCAGGAATCAAACCAGCAAACTTTTGGTGCACAGATCAATGTTCAACCAACTGAGTCACACCAGCCAGACTTGACTCTGCTGTTTGACTGCTTACCTCCAACTCCAACCTGGTCCTAACATGATTCTCAAACCCTGTCTTCAAACTCCTTCCCCCAATTTAGACCCCTCCCCATCTCCAAGTGCAGTTATATCTCCATCCCATCTCCATTTCTGAATACAGTGCCATCACCATACTCCAACACAGCTGCAAACCAACCTCAACTTCTTCCCTTTTTCCAAACCCAAGTTGATCCCAGTTCAACTTCTTCCCCATCCTCCAACACAACTAAGACCCCATTCTTCATCTCAACCATTTCCTAAATCACAGCCCTATTCCAATGCCCATCAGTATCCCTGACACATCTTCAACTCAATCCTCATCTCAATCCAAATCCTCATGCCAACCCTAACCTTAACTTCATCCCCACCCCTAAACTTAACTGTGTCTTTAACTTGGGTTGAACAACTGTCCCAGTTTGCTCAGGGATGAAAGATTTCCTGGGATGTGGGACTTTCAGTTTTTTTAAATTTATATTTTATTGATTTTTTTTTTAACAGAGAGAAAGGGAGAGGAATAGAGAGTTAAAAACATTGATGAGAGAGAAACATTGATCAGCTGCCTCCTGCACACTCCTACTGAGTATGTGCCCACCACAAAGGTACATGCTCTTTACTGGAATCGAACCTGAGATCCTTGAGTCTGCAGGCTGATGCTCTATCCACTGAGCCAAACCGGTTAGGGCGGACTTTTAGTTTTAAAACTTGGCAAATCCTGGGTAATCCAGGATGGTTGGTCACTGTATCTCAATCCTGTTCCTATCTCTAACCCCAATTTTATTCTCAAGCCCAATCCCATCCATTACAATCTCAACCTTGTTTTCACCACTGCCTGTGATCTCATTTTCAGCCACAGGTCAACTCTAACTCTGAGCTTCTCTTTTCCAGGTTCATTTGTTCCACCAAGGCCTCCAAAGGCAGGTGAGCTGGGGGTCTGGGTACAGGAGACCCAGTGCTAGCTTTACACTACTCTGGTCTTGAGCCACCTCTCCTTTCTCCTCAGGAATAAAAGCAGAAACCCACCCACTTTCCAGCAAGCCCCTGGAAATCACAGGTGAGAATCTAGGGCTGCGCCTTTGTGTTCACCTGGCTGATGATCTGCTCTACATGATTATTATCTTTCTGATCCCCTCCAGGCCTGGACCTCACCCCTGTCATCAGCACATCTCAACTGGGTGAGCCATGGGAAGGCCCTTCCAGAAGTCTGAGATGGGACATGTGGAAGTCCTTCCTCCAATCCCCCAAATTCAGACCAGAAAACAAATCAGAGAGGGTAAAAGCTTGTTGATCTTGGAAGACAGAGTCAGCAACTTCTGAATAAAACTCTCTTCCCCCTTTTCCCAGGAATTTCTCCCGAGCTTCCTCCATTCCAGCCATCCCAAGCCAGTAAGTCAGTTCTTCATATGCTCTCCTATTTTTCCTCTCACAGTGGCCAAAGTATTTGAGTCAGACCTATAGTTCTGGAGTGAGTCTATAGAGCACAGAAACGTTTCCTCTCAGAAGATACTTCTCCCGGAGTCTATACTAGATCTACAGGGGCCCAGGGTGTCTGCTGGGTACTCTTTGGGGTCCACCTTCTGCTTGCATATAAGGTACAGAAAACATTCTCTGCCCCAGATGCAAGTGTCCACAGGCTTCCCTGAATGGAGAGCAGATTGGGAAGGTGCTGCTAGAGAGCAGAAGACAATGCATCATAGGGGTTAAGGGCAGAGCGGGGTCCAAGTCATGCATGACCTCTCAGTCTACTCATGTGCAAAATGGGAATAATATATCTATGTCATACGAGGGAGGATCCCATAAAATAATAAGGCTGCAACAGGGTGCTTGGCACACAATAAATGTTCCATAAATGCTCTGGGTTTCTTCAGGGTTCACTCTCCCTAACACCCTCTTGCTGGCCCCATCTGGTGATATAGTCACAACCATAGATTTTGGTCCCCTTGCTTTTTGAGAAAGGTTCAGGATCCTTTCCTCACACTCTCAAGCACTACTATTGGTCTTTCTGTCCTTATTCTCACCCTCAGCAACTCCAGTGCCCTGGGTCGGTCAGAAATCTGGGGGTCCTGGGTGCTACCAGGAGGAGAGATGGCTGGTTTTTCTGTGTCTTCTGGTGGTGGTGTCACTGCTCCTGGGCTGCACTGGTCTGGCTGTAACCCTGATTAAGTGTGAGTAGGGTGAGGATGGGGCATGTGGAGAGATTGGGGATGGGGTACAGGGACAACTTGGGCTCAAGCTGGACTTCTTCTCATAGACCAGGCGGTGGTGGAAGAACTGAAGATGTTAACCTTCCAGCAGATGGCGTGGCAAGCAAATGGTGAGTGTTTTCAATCATCCCTTCATGCCATGCATATTGAACATCAACGTGATATTCAAACCCAGCTCCATGACCAATCCCAAGCCCCATCTTTGCCAGGGACTTCCCCAGGTACCAGGACAGGGGTTGTGTGGGTAGGATGGTGAACTCATTATACAGTCCCTGTCCCTGTGGAGAGTGTGTATGTGTGTTGTGTGTGTGTGTGTGTGTGTGTGTGTTCATACTTCTACTGCCCAATATCATGTTCACGAGTCTCTGTGGCTGCTGAGCACTTGAAAAGTGCTCATTCTGAACTGAGATGTGCTGTAAGTCTAAAATGCACATCAATTTCAAAGCCTTGCTACAAAAAAGTAGAGTATCTTAATAATAATAATAACCTTTAATATTGGTTACTCATTGAAGTGATAGATTGGGATAAATAAGAGTAGCATTCAGCCGGGACCAGTTTGGCTCAATGGATAGAGTGTCGGCTTGGGGACTGAAGGGTCCCGGGTTCGACTCTGGTCAAGGGCATGTACCTTGGTTGCGCGCATATCCCCAGTAGGGGTGGTGCAAGAGGCAGCTGATTGATGACTCTCTCTCATCAATGTTTCTAACTCTATCTCTCTCCCTTCCCCTTGTACAAAATCAATAAAATATATTAAAAAAAAGAGTAGCATTCAAAGTAATTTTATCTGTTTCTTTTGACTTTAAAAAATGTGGCTCCTAGGAAATTTAAAATTACCCATGTGGCTCACATTTTGTTTCTGTTGTATAGTACAGGCATAAACAGCCACATACCAAGTTATCACCTACATGAGTATAAAATTTCAAACTTTGATGAGTAGTCTAAAGGAAGAGGAAGTTGATTCTATGAAAAAGTCTAACAAGGGGTCTTGACCTTATCTTTGGGAGGATCATACATGATGTCCCTAGGAAATGGTATTGCTGCTGCGTGAAGGCAGAGAGGGAATTAACCAGGTGAGGGGTTGAGAGTCTTAGGCATGTGCAAAGGATCTGTGGTAGGAGGCAGCACTGTTTAGATACAAGGGAAGAGGATGGTGTATTTGAAAGGTGAGAGTTGATAATAGCTTGGATGAGGGTTGTGGCTGTGGAGATGGAGAGAACTGTGTGAAGTAGAAAGATTTTCAGAGACAAAATTCACCAGGTCTGGGGATGGATTGATTGGGAATGATAATGAGAGAGAGGGAAGGGTGTCAAGGATAACATGTGTCATGTACCTCCCTTCCTACCTCTATATCTTTATCTTCCTATATCTATATATCTTATATTTCTGGCTTGTCTAAGTGAAGGACCATCTACTGATGACCCCGGGGAGTGTCAGAAGAGGGCAAGTTTGCTTGGGAGCAGTGGAAATACACACACTAGCTGTAGAAGAATTTTCTGGGCTGGCCTGGTCTTCACCATGATTGCCGAAGTCTTTCAAATTGCTGCATCCCACACTCCCTCACCCCAGCCCTCAGAGTAAGCCACTTTTCCTCTCAAGAACCATCAATGGCTTCTTACTGCCCAGAATCCAATATGGAAACCCTTGACTGACATTCAACAGACAGGACATTGGCCCTCACCCTACTTTGAGCTCAAGCTCCTTTGAGGTTCCCTTGTGTTCTACTGTGCCTGCCTTCCCCGACACACTTGCCTCTCGGCCTTTGCTTCCAAGGTGCCTGCTGTGCCCACCCCCTCCCTTAATTAGTGTCTTCCTTCAAAACTCACCTCTCCCAGAAAACCCACCATCCCCATCTTCCCCAAGCTCCAGAGATTAACCCGTCCTCTGAGCCACTCGAGGACTCCTAGGCACTGAGCATGCTGGTTTTGAGTTGTACTACCACCGACAGAAATGTGGGTGCAGCGGGAGCACAGCTGGTGTGCTCTCCGCCATGTCTGCAGTCAGTGGTGGGTGAGTGGGTAGATGGGGGTTTGGATTTCTAACCTCCCAGTCCCTTCCTGCTGACAGTGACTGGCATGTCGGGGCTTGCTGGCCTGAAGAAGGACATGGACCGAGTAAGAGCTGACACCAACCGGTCGCTGATGGAACTTCGGGGCTTTTTGGGTGAGCGCGACTTGGGGAACTGTCTGGGATGGCAGAGCTGGTGTATCGCACAAATCCATGGGAAGGAGTCTCATGGCAGTCTGTCCTGTTTCCAGACTGTGCCAGGGTCACCTGCCCTGAGGGCTGGCTCCCTTTTGAGGGCAAGTGTTACTACTTCTCCCCAAACACCAAGCCGTGGGATGAAGCCCGAAAGTTCTGCCAAGAGAATTACTCCCACTTGGTCATCATCAGTAGCATTGAAGAGCAGGTGAGCTACCCCTCCAAGCCCCCAGGAATCAGCAGGGCCAGCCTGCTCCTCTCCCAGATATACACATCCTTCCCTGGCTTGGATGGGAAGAAATTGGAATGGCTTTTGAACCACTGAAACCTTTATTTATATATTAAAAAAAAATCCTTATTGTTGAAAGTATCACATATGTCCCCTTTTTGAAACTTTTCATAGCAAACTTTTACTGAAATGATATCATGCAGAGGTTAATAGGGTATGCTTGCCCTAGCTGGTTTGGCTCAGTGGACAGAGCGTCAGCCTGCAGACTGAAGGGTCCCGGGTTCAATTCTGGTCAAGGGCATGTACCTTGGTTTCGGGCACATCCTCAGTAAGGGTGTGCAGGGGGCAGCTGATCGATGTTTCTCTCTCGTCGATGTTTCTAACTCTCTATCTCTCTCCTTTCCTCTCTGTAAAAAAATCGATAAAATATATTAAAAAAAAGAGGGTATGCTCTGCTTGAGTTCAAATCCTGGTTGTGTTTACTTATTCTTGAAAGTTTCAGTTTCCTAACCTTAGGCAACCACACGTCCTATTCTCCAGACTGTATCCCAAACAAAATTGATGCCAAAATGGTGAAGGTCAACATTTTACTTTATTTTTAAAAAGATTTTTAAAATTGATTTTTAGAGAAAGAGGAAGAGAGAAGGAGAGAGAGAAACACTGATTGCTGCCTCCTGCCCGGCCCCTCATGGGAATCGAGCCCACAATCTGGGCTTGTGCTCTGACCAGCAATCAAACAAGTAACCTCTCCATGACTTGGGATGATGCTCAGCCAACTGAGCCAGACTGGCCAGGGTGGCACTGTTCTACTTTGATAGGATAGTCTTTTGTCTTTCAAGCAGCACTTTTGTCTTTCTGGTTTCCTGACACCTCTCTGGGGCTTTACCCAGGGACAAGGGCCCAGATGCCCTCCCCTTTTTAGAGTCTCCAAACCCAAGTTTTGGCCGTCCCTGCAGACTCACTGGGGATGAATGTAGAGCTGCTCTCGCTGGCACCCGTCATATCTACATATTTACAACTGTTTTCCCTTTGTAGTCTCTCCTCTCCAACTTTTAGGGAACCTTAGTACTGTAATGAGGTTGGGTGAATGAGTATGGTTTGCCTATAGTAAAACACACAGATCCTAAATGTACTTTCTGTTTTGACATATGTGCATATCCATGTACCTGTCCACCCAACCAGGACTTAGAGAGCAATTTTACCGCCTCAGTGAGTTTCCTCATGGTCCTTTTCCACTCATCTCCCCACTCCTACCAGGCAACTACTGGTCTGGTGATCTGGTTCCTCTTACTATAGATCAGTTTGCCATGAGAAGAGGTTTTTTTGTTTTTTAATCATCACCTGAGGATATTTTCCCATTAATTTTTAGAGAGAGAGGAAGGGACGGTGTGTGTGTGTGTGTGGGGAGAGAAAGAGAGAGAAAGAGAGAGAGAGAGAGAGAGAGAGAGAGAGAGAGAGAGAGAGAGAGAGAGAGAGAGAGAAACACCTATGTGAACAATGATTGGTTGCCTCAAGCATGTACCCCAATTGAGCCTGCAATCAAGGTACATGCCCTTAGACTGGAATAGAACCGAGGACCCTTCAGTCTGTGGGCCAACAGAGCCAAACTGGCGAGGGTGAGAGGAGTTGTTTTTTATCATGATATTTTCTTCCTAATCTTTTGTCTTTGGCCCAAGTCCTTTCTCTTCTCCAAAGGCTTGGGCTTTTGAAACACAAGAAGGCAGGAAGCCTCATTCCTCTCCTTTCCCCCTTCGCATTTTTTTTCTGAAGCAATGAATTCCTTTTCTGCCTGAGTGCAGGTCAGGACTGCAGGGTGGGGTGTAAGTGCCAGGGAAGCCAAGACATCGGTTATTATTAAAGTGTCCCTTATCTACAATAATAAAAGCATAGTATGCTAATTGACATTCTTCCGGACCACCTTCTGGATGAAAGCCGGGACTTCAAGAGAAGCCTGGGTCCCAGGTGCCTGCTGGTGGCTGGAGGGACGTCTGGGTCCTGGGTGACAGGGGGAAGCTGGTGCCGGCAGCCGGAGGAAGGAAGGCCTATACTTGCACGAATTTTGTGCATTGAGCCTCTAGTATGTTATAATACTACATGTGAAGATGTCACAGTATGGACTGTGTGTCAGACACGGTTTTGAGCACTTTGTGCTATTAACCCATTTAATTCCCACAACCCTCGGAGGCAGTAGCTACTATTGTTCCATTTTACAGAAGAGGAAACAGACTCAGAGCAGTTCACTGGTCGTGTGAGAAAGTAGCATGCTCAAGTAGGAGGCAGGTGTTGGTCTTGCTCGGGATGCCACAGGGTGTGGGAGGGACTCTGGGGTGGCATTTAAAAGCCCTAAAGGATGGAGGAAAGAACCTGAGGGTTGGGTAGAAGAACTGATGGCTGAATGGAGTTTGTACTCGCAGAACTTTGTGACCAAGGCTCACCGCTCTCCACGGGTGCACTGGCTGGGGCTGAGTGACAGGGAACACGAAGGGAACTGGAAGTGGCTGGACGGGTCGCCTGTCACTCTGAGGCAAGTATCTAGAGTTCTTGGGCTCCCTGCTCATTGCGGGCCCTTGTGCAGTCCAAGCCAGCAGATTCTCTAGAATCTCAGGCTGGACTGGACAGGCAGGTACAGGGTGCTTTTATTGTGATAGGGGTTCTGGTCCTGTACCTCTTTAATTTCCCTCCATTGCAATAATCTCCACCTTTTAACACAACTGCTCAAATATATCCAGTCCCTAGGCTGATGGTTGGGGGCGGGGGTGGGAGTGGGGGGAAGAAAGATGGAGTGGCTATAGGACAAGAGGAAGAGGATTTAGCAGGATCTCATTCTTTTTACACTCTACAGATACTAACCCATTTATTTAATCTTTGTAAAGAAAGTCATATTATCATCTTCATTTTAGAGACGAGGAAACTGAGGCACAGGAAGGCTAAGCAACCTGCCCAAGATTAGACAGAGGGCAGGTGGCAGTGTCAACCAACCTGGCTCCAAAGCCTATACTCTTAGCCACTAGACTTTACTTTCTAAAGGAGTGTATGTATTTGCATTTTATTATTATTATTATTTTTTAATTTTTTAATATATTTTATTGATTTTTTTACAGAAAGGAAGAGAGAGGGATAGAGAGTTAGAAACATTGATGAAGGAGAATCATCAATCAGCAGCCTCTTGCACACTCTCTACCGGGGATGTGCCCACAACCAAGGTACATGCCCTTGACCGGAATCGAAGCTGGGACCCTTCAGTCCGCAGGCTGACGCTCTATCCACTGAGCCAAACCAGTTTTGGCTGTATTTGCATTTTAAATAAATATTAACAAATTGTTCCCTGTACTGATTATACCAATTGATTCAAGAGGGAAGAGATTAGCCTGGTGAAGAGGGAGGTGGGGCTGAGTTAGGACAGGCAAGTTGGGGTTAAGCGGATGATGCAGCATCTTCAGGTAATTCTGAGAGGCTGAAGAAGTGATTCAGCTAGAATAAAGAGCCTTGTACCATGAAGGCCTTTCTCCCCAATATATTTTAAAAAACCAATAGATTTAATTATTTTTTCTTTTAAAGCCCTAACTGGTTTGGCTCAGTGGATAGAGCATTGGCCTACAGACTGAAGGGTCCTAGGTTTGATTCCTCTCGAGGGCATGTCCCTTGGTTGCCGGCACATTCCCAGTAGGAGGTGTGCAAGAGGCAGCTTATCTATGTTTCTCTCTCATCAATGTTTCTAACTCTTTATCCCTCTCTCTTCTGCTCTGTAAAACATCAATAAAATATATATTAAAAAATGCTCACTAAGGATATTTTTTTCCATTTATTTCTAGAGAGAGAGTGGGAAGGAGGGAGGAGGGGGGAGAGAGAGAGAGAGAAACATTGAAGTGAGAGAGACACATCAATTGATTGTCTCTCACACTTGCCCCTACTGGGGCTGGAGAAGCTTCATCAGAGGTATGTGCCCTTGCCTGTTAATTGAACCCGGGACCCTTTGGTCCGAACTGGCCAGGGCTTAATTATTTTTGAATTTACAGAAAAATTGAGCTGAAGGTACAGAAATTTGCTATATATAAATATATATATATATATTCTCCACGCACAGCTTTTACTATTATTAACATCTTGCATTAGTATTGTACATTTGTCGAAATTGATGAACAAATATGGACACATTATTATTAACTAAAATCCATACTTTACATTTGGGTTCACTTCAAGTGTTGTATGGGTTTTGACAAATGCATAATTTCAATATCATGTAGACTAGTAGTGCCACTGTCCTGAAAAATACCCTGTGCCCCACCTAATCACCCCTTCCAAACCCACTTTTTATTCTCTCCAGCTTCTGGGAACCAGAGGAACCTAACAACATGAATGATGAGGACTGTGTCAGCATGAACAAATATGGCAGCTGGAATGACCTCTCTTGCTCCAAAGCTACGTATTGGATTTGTGAGCGGAAATGCTCTTGTTGAACCCCAGGGATTAGACTGGGTGGGGATCCATATCCAAGCACCCCTTGACTCTTGGAGATGAGAAGTTCCTGCCCTTCCTGCCTCTCTAGGAACTGATTTAGATGCATCCAAGGTGAACCAGCAGCTTGGATGTAGCAAGTTCCCTGGGGTGTAAGTCAGACAATTTCTAGGGTGAGAACTCAGGGCTTAATCAATTGGATGGAGTCTGAGTGTGTTTAGGCTACTATAACAGAATACCATAGACTGGATGGCTTATAAACAACAGAAATTTATTTTTCAAAATGCTGGAAGCTTGGAAGCCCAAGATTAAGGTGCAGGGAGAGTCAGTGTTTGGTGTAGGAAGGCCTGTTTCCTGGTTCATAGATGCCACCTTCTTGCTGTAGAATGGACAAGAGAATTGTCTGGAGTTTCTTTTATAAGAGCATTAAAGACATTCAGGAAGACTCTACCCTCATGACCTAATCATTATCCAAAGGCCCAACTCTGAATGCCATCAAATTGGGGATTGAGTTTCAACATATGATTTTTTTGGGTCACACACATTCAGTTCACAGCTGATGATGAGTTGGAGTGATGGCCTCCCAGTTCTGGGATCTGGAGGAAACTCACCAAGTCCTAGATCACGGAACTTAGGAAGTGATGCTTGCTCTGGGGGCTCTGGAACTGACATTGATTGATTATAGAGCTGAAAATACCTTCGGTCCTCTGAATCATGATGTACTGGGTCTGGACTCCCTTACTGCCTACCAGATGTGGATAAGCTTCTGGCAAGCAGATGGGGCAAGATTCTTCTTGACAAGCAACTTTCTCAATATCCCAGGTGATGTTTGACCAAGCTAGGTGATGGACTCAGACTTCTGCTAAGATTTGGCCGATGGAACTGCTGACTAGCTGAAAGGCAAGACTCCCCACTCAATGTGGCCAACCCAGGCCATGACTTGGTCAGATCCTCAGGACAGCAATGGAGATACCTACCCACACGTGCCTTTGAACTATTTTCAGTTTGTAAAGGTCTTTGATGAAATATTTCACTTTACTGCCAGGTGGACATTCTGGGGCTATTAGCTCTTGCAATGTTAGAGCTTCTCAAAATGCCAGTTCAACGTGTGGTCCTTGTCTACTGGGTTAACTTTCTGGGGCTGACACAATAAAGTACCATAGATTTAAACAACAAAAATATATTGTCTCATAGTTCTGGAGAATGGAAGTGCAAAATCAAGGTGTTGGTGTGGTTGGTTTTTGGTAAGACTTGTTTCCTTGACTTACAGATGGCTGTCTTCTCTCTGTGTGTTCACATAGTCTTCCCTTTGTGTATGTCTGTGTTCTAATCTTTCTAATAAGGATACCAGTCATATTGGATTAGGGCCCACCCTAATGACTTTATTTTTCCTTACGCACCTCTTTAAAGACCATATCTCTAAACACAGAGACATTCTGAGGTACTGGGGGTTAGGATTTCAATATATGATTTTTTTTTGGGGTGCAGAATTAAGCCCTTAACACTAAATTCCAGAGGTACCTCCCCCAGTCATTGTGACAATCAAAAACATCCCCTAGAAAGCTGGTACTATCCCCAACTGAGCACAGCTCAACATGGCAATTCATTTGGACAATCCCTGAATTGTATCCAGAGGTGAATAGGTATTTTCCAAGTCAATTAATTTATTGATTAACAAATGCCTATGATTAATAGAATTTTTATTTTATTTTATTTTGACTGAGATCAGGTGATTTCGGAAAGGAGGCTCTGAGCAGGGTGGGTGGGCAGTGGGGGAGGTTGGCATTCACTTCATTTTCTGTTCTTTCTATACTCTCTCCCTTTCCCACTTTTACACTTGTCCCAACCTCATCAGTACTGAACCCTGACACCATATAGCCCATAGATTGCAGAGTGGAACATCTTGTTCCCAGCTCTTCATTGAGGGGACCATTGGTCCAATGAACTGTTCATCTGGGGTCAGAGGAAATACTTGCATCTCAGAAGAGGAAACTTCAGTTTCCCCCAATATGTGGGTTGAGAAATGGAGAAGCAGGGCTCTGTGGTCATGTTTTCAAGTCATCCCTAGGAGGTCAAGATGGAGTTGGCCCAACTCTATTTCACTTCCCCATCTCTCACGATTGTTTAATTTCAGATACAGAGATGAATCTGAAAGAAGTTCCCTTTACTACATGGGTTATCAAGCATGTATTGTTTGTTAGATAGATGCAGAGTTTTTATTTAATCTTTATGATGACTGTTGAGGCTGCAATAATGACCAACCCCATTTTATAGCTGGAAATACTGAGCACAGGGGGGTGTCATGGCTTGCCCATTGATGTTTGGTGGGTAAGTGGCAGAACTGGTATTTGGACTCAGTCTGTGCCTCCAGTGGTTGATCTCTTTCCGTAGCACCTCTGCTGCTTCCTGTGGGACTGTCTGTAAACTTGAGTTGTTTCCGAGGACCCTGACCTTGTAGCTCTTGTTTCAGCTGGCAATTATGGGAAAAGAACAGCATGGTTTGGAAGAATAGACATCCTGGGCTAAGATTAGAGACCAAGAGTTGACTTTCAGGTCTGATGACAATGATCTGGGGCTCTCCTGGCACTATTATCATAATGCAGGTGATAGATGATGGGGACCAAAGAGCTAATTTCGAAGGTAGGAAGGATTCTGGTCCTATCTTAAAGCCACAGCTAATTTGTTTGATGGATTGAACATGGGGTGTGAGAAAAATAAAAGAGTAAAGGATGACCCTCAGCTTTTCAGCTTATGCAATAGAAAAGATGGAGTTATCATTACTTAGAGATGGAGAAGGAGAAAAAGCTTCAGAACACACCACATTAAAATTTAGATGATTCATGAACTCTTGCTGAAATTCTTAGAGGTTCTCTTTGGTCAAGAAAGAAATCTTGCTCGATGGGTGTGGCTCAGTGGTTGAGCATTGACCCATGAACCAGGAAGTCATGGTTTGATTCTCTGTCAGGGCATAGGCCAGGGTTGCAGGCTTGATCCCCAGTAGGGGGTGTGCAGGAAGCAGCCGATCAATGATTCTCTCTTATCATTAATGTTTCTATCCCTCTCTCTCTCTTCCTTTCTGAAGTTAATAAAATACATTTTTTAAAAAGAAAAAAAAGGAATGAAATCTTGTGTGAAGCAGATGCTGTCATACCCTATTTATAGCCTTGATTCTTACACTTTCAGTGACTTCTAATGCCAGCAGCTGCCATCAGAGTCTACCCGGTTTGGCACATGGCAGGTGAGAAGTGCCAGGTGGAAAATACTTACCAGAACAGACCCTACCAAAGCCTGGACTTAGTGGGCATATACCCCAGCTCCCTCACCCCTCAGGTGAGTTGTCTCTGAGATAAGCATCCCACGGACAGCCCAGTGGCCCCTGCTGGTATTAACCTCCCATTTCCTACAGCAATAGCTTGCTCAATAACACATCCTTGGATGCATCTTGTACTGGCTGCCTTTTCCTTCCTGACTCACTTCTTCACACCCCTGCTGGTGTTTTCTGGGATCACCTCTGAAATAACCTACTTGCACTGAAATCCTTGTCTCAAGTTTGCTCTTTGGGGAACCCAAATTGAGCTGTCACAGGACAGGGGAAGACGAGCTTGTGACATGGTTTTGGTTTTCGTGGGATGGAGGGGTTCCTGGAGTGTGGGACTCTCGTGTCAAAGCTGGGTAAGTCCTGGAAAAACTAGGATGAGCTGCCACTCCTAGAGGAAAAAAAGTGTGGTATCAGGGAAGTAAAAAAAAAAAAAAAAAAAAAAAAAAAAGTGAAAGTCTTAAGGAGAAAAGTAGACGTAGATAAATCATCATGTTGTACATTTTAAATAGACACAATTTTTAGTTGTTAATTATCTTTTTTTTAATTAATTTTTTTTACATATTTTAATGATTTTTTTTGCCCCCCTTCCTCCCTCCCCCATGTTAATTATTTTATATAATGAAGACTAGTATGCAAATTGACCATCATTCTAACATACAAGATGGCTGCCCCCATGTGGAGACAAGATGGCCACTACAAGATGGCCAACACGGGAGGGCAGTTGTGAGTGATCAGGTAAGCAGGGGAGGGCAGTTGGGAAGGACCAGGCATGCAAGGGAGGGAAGTTAGGGGCAATTGGGCCGGCAGGGAGCAATTAGGTGTCGATCAGGCTGACAGGGGAGTGGTTAGAGGATGATCAGGCTGGTAGGCAGAAGCATTTAGGGGAAATCAGGAAGGCAGGCAGGCGAGCAGTTGGGAGCCAGGAGTCATGGATTGTGAGAGGGATGTTCAAAGGCCTGTTTAGGCCCACTAGGATCGGGCCTTAATGGGCATTTGGACATCCCTTGAGGGGTCCCAGATTGGAAAGGGTGCAGGCTGGGCTGAGGAATACCTCCTCCCCCGTGCACAAATTTTGTGCACTGGGCCTCTAGTACTTCAATAAGGCTAGATAAAACCAACAACACTAGATAAAGAAAAAAAAAAAAAGAAGAAGAAGAAAATGGGACTGACGACATCAAGTTTGGTCAAGTTAGAGGAGACTGAGTGCGCTTAGCACCGAGGAAGCATTTGGGACATTGACTGACTCTTGGGCATGTTGGGGCAGAAGTCAGACTGTAGCAAATTAAGCAGTGACAAGATGGGAGGGAGTTGGGACAGCAGAATGCAAACTTTTCTAGAATTTTGGCTGGGAAGAGAAAGAGAAGGATAGTGAATTGCAACAGGGAGAATTTTGGGGGTTAGAAGAAATCTGAGCATGCTTTTTTTACTTTTATAAACCCCCCTGTTATTCCACATTAGATATCTTGGGTCTTCCAGACTGATTTTTTACCTTCATGTTTTTCATCTTTTGGCATTTTTCAGGATGTCTGGTTATGTGGTGTTCCTTCTCCTCTGTCGCAGAGGCTGAGCTTGTCTTAGGTGCTTGTATTTTTCCAGCTGTGATCTGAGATGACTGGCACTGGTTTCCAGTTTCCGCCGACCACTTCGGCACTCTCTTGCCTTTCCGTGCTTCCTCCTCTCTCCTGTCACTTTGTTCTAACTCATCTTTTGGCATTTTGCTCTGTGCTCTGAGATATTTCTTCCACATGGCCTTCCAAGTCATTGATTTTGCCTTTGACAGTGATCATCCTCTTCTTTAATTTATCCAGAAAAAACTCCTCTTTTTATTTATACCCATTTTATTTAGATCTTTTTGGTGCTGTACTTTAATCTTTTTACATTCGTATTTTTTTAAAAATATATATTTTATTGATTTCTTACAGAGAGGAAGGGGAGAGATAGAGAGCTAGAAACATCGATGAGAGAGAAACATCGACCAGCTGCCTCCTGCACACCCCCCACCGGGGATGTGCCCGCAACCAACGCACTTGCCCCTGACCGGAATCGAACCTGGGACCTTTCAGTCTGCAGACCGACTCTCTACCACTGAGCCAAACCGGCTTTGGCTACATTCGTATGTTTATTATGCTTGTTTGAAGTGATCTGTCTATTCCAGAAACTTTATTTTGCTGGGTGTCCATTATGTTAGACTATCCTCTTTTCAGGACCTCTGGGGCCCCTCGTGGTTCTCATTTGCTTTTGGTGCTCAGATCTGGGGGTTCAGAATGTTAAGCAGTGGCAGCTTTCCAAATGATGGAAGGAGACTGATTCTCTACTCCAGAGGGGCCACGTGTGCACCAGGCAGTGCCTTTCTGTTTCCCGCTCTCCTTGCTTCCTACTTGGAGTTCTTGGGATCACACACACACACACACACACACTCTCTCATAGGAGTGATGCTGACCTTATCCCAGGAGGCCTATGACCCCCTGGCTCAGACTCTTCCTAGGATGAGCTGTGTCCGATCTTTACCGTAGAGCACGCTTCAGCTTCTTTTGGGACTCTGCATCTGGTGTATGGAGAGACCTTTCAACCCTAGATTTTTCTTTGGGGATGTCAACCCATCTGCCAGGGCCCCAGCAGACTTTGGTTCAAAGGAGCAGATACATTAGGGAATAGATTGGAGGGGATTGAAATATATACAGGTGGCCATTTTTCTAGAGTCTTCTATTTCTCTCTCTTTAGCACAGGAACAGCAAACTATAGCTTGGTGGTGGTGGTGGTGGAGTGGGATGGCAAATTCTGCCTGCAGTCTTTTTTTGTATGACTAGTGAGTTTTTGTATTTCTAAAGGGATATACACGTATATCCCTTTACACATATACCACATACAGGATGTTCCAAAAAAATGTATACATACTTTGACAGCTGATAGCTCAATTTTGAAAATGAAATATATTTTAATGAACACTGCCTTGATCATTTTAAAGTGTGTGTATATATTTTTGAAACACCCTATATATTTTGTGTGTATCTATTGATTTATATCCATCTATATCTATCATCTATTTGTCTATCGTCATCGTCTTTATCACTATCTATGGCCCCAAAAGTCTAAAATATTTATTATCTGGTTTTTTATGAGGAAAGTTTGCTGTGTAAGCTTTAGCATATTGAAATGCCATCAGAGAAGAACTAAGAAAAAGAATGTAAGGAGATGGAGGACTCAGGGAAGAGAGGGGATAATGGAGAAAGGTCTGCTCAAGAGATGGGAGGGTGGAACTCCCATTTGACCCAGTAATCCCACTCCTAGGAATATATCCTAAGAAACTAGAAATATCAATCAGAAAGGATATTTGCACCCCTATGTTCATACCAACACAATTTACAATAGCTAAGATTTGGAAACAGCCTATGTGCCTGTCAGCAGATGACTGGATCAGAAAACTATGGTTCATCTACACAATGGAATACTATGCTGCCATAAAAAGAAGGAATTCTTATCATTTGCAGCAGCCTGGATGGAATTGGAGAACATTATGCTGAGTAAAATAAGCCAGTCAATGAAAGCAAAACACCACATGATCTAATTTATTTATGGATAATAAAGAACATTATAAACTGATGAACAAAAAGATAGATACAGAGACAGTAAAGCAACAAACAGATTGTCAATTTACAGTGTAAAGGTTAGGGAGATATGGGGGAGATAATAGATCAACTGAAGGAATTGTATGCATGTAAATAAGCGTTACCAATCCATGCAAAACTCTGGGGGGTGAGGGCATATACGGGAGTGGGAGGGCAATGGTAAGATATATATACTATATATATATATATACCACCTTAATAAAAAAATGAAAGAAAAAAGAGATGGGCGGGACTGAGCTCTAAATCTCAGAGGGAAGGGTTAGCTTTAAATCAGATGAGGGATCCCTTTGGAGCGGGAAACAATGGGCCTTGATGAGGCATGGACGGGTATGGATGTGGGTATATTTGTAAGAGATGCCAGAACATTGAGGAACTTTCCCATCCAAGTACTAACCAGGCCCGACCCCGCTTAGCTTCCGAGATCAGACGAGATCGGGCGCGTTCAGGGTGGTATGGCCGTAGATGGAACTTTCCATCAGCTGATGTTTATTATCTCTGTTAAGTAGAAGACAAGGCTTTATACCTTATGGAAAAGGGAAAAAGTGATGTGAATTGAGAAAGGAAGTGAAAACAGAAACTCCCTGTGTGGTAAAGATAAGTAGGGATAGAAAAAGCAAGTGTCAGATAGTATGAAGGGTCTTGTTTAGATCAGAAAGCGCACCTTAGTAATGGTTCCAAGCTGAGTGTTCCTGGGATCTCACTGCCTTGTTGAAGAGTGGAGAAGACACGTGGTTGGTTCATAAAGAAGACTGATTGTGCTGCAAGTCACAGATCCTCTGGCCCCAAGTGGCTTAACAAAAGCATTTTGTCTTATATAGGAAAAAGGGTTGGCTCAGCAACTCAACAGTGTCAGAGCCCAGATTATTCCCATATTTCCACTGTTTCCTGCAAGCATCATATTATTAAAGTGGCCAAAAATAGGAGGTCATGGTCAGGCTCTCCTTAAATTTGTCTTATTTTATCAAGGAGTAAAAGTATTTTCCAGTAGGTGTTTTTTTGTTGTTTGTTTTTAGTTTTTCTTTTTTTCTTTTTTTCTTTTTAAAGTACTTTTATTGATTTCAGAGAGTAAGGGAGAGGGAGAAAGAAATAGAAACATCAATGATGAGAAAGAATTATTGATTGGCTGCCTCCTGCACACCCCCTACTGGGGATGGAGACTGCAGCTCAGACAAGTGTCCTTGACTGGAATCAACCCAAGACCCTCCAGTTCACAGGCCAATGCTCTATCCACTGAGCCAAACCAGATACGGCTCCAGGGGATTTTTATTTTTATTTTTATATCTCATTGGTCACAATCGGTATAAATGCACATACTGAACCAATCTTTAGCAAATGGGAACACCATCACTATGGTTAGCTAAGACCAGGGCTCCTCCACCTCAGCCCTACTGACATTTGGAGGGGAATCATTCTTTGCTTTGTGTGTGTGGTCTGTCTGTACGGTGTTTAGCAGTACTTCTGGCCTTCACCACTTTGCCCCAGTAGTGAAAACAAAAAATGTTTTTCAGACATTGACAAATGTCCATTAAGGGAGGGAAGTAATCTCCCCTTAGCTGAGTATCATTCAGCTCACACCAATCCCAACTGAACCCCTGTGTTCAGGCACATTGCTGTCTCAAATCTTAAAACAGTCAAGTTTCTGTTAATAAGGAACATATGACGTGGTGATGGCCACTGAATAGACAATGCACAGTGCCTGCCATCTTTGGGTCACTCCTGGATTGAGGTCTTCACTCCTGGTAGGTGTGGAATGAGAAGGCAAAGGTGCTGAAAGTATGAGAGAGAATCATTTGATCTGATTGATCATGAGATCTAGCCTAGATAAGAAAGAAGGCAAAGATGATGGAGTGGAAGAGTTTAAAGAACAAGTTTAGGATGAGTGAGAGAAAGAACTTGAGACAAGGCCATGAAAGGGACCTTCTCATTTATGCAAAGTATTTGCAACAGTCATGATTTGGGTAACCAGGGACAAGCATTGGTTGAATAACAGAAAACCAATTCAACACTCATTTATTGAGAGCCCATTATGCAGAACAAATGCTTCGGGAAGTTCAGGTTAAATATTTCTTCTCCAGGGATGTTGTGTATAATGATTCCTTTTGTCCTCAGCTTCATTCTTCATGATGCCAACCAGATCCATGGATACGACTTTCCATGTGAAATTGAAAGTTCTAGTTTTAATATTTTCTCTTCACTTGTCCTGAAAAAATATTCCCCCCCCACAAAAGATGTTTAGATTAAAGGTAGATGTAAGGATAAAACAAACAAAACAGACAAACAAACAACAAGAAAGCAGAAAGGAAGAGCAGGAGTGGATTAAAGCCAGAGAGTTCCATCCAGTAGGCAAGGATAGTATGATCTCCTAGTATTTTGGAATCTTTTAGACAGGTGCAGCCTTAGTTTATAGTTGGAGGACTTCTAAAAAAAAAATAAAAAAAATCTAAGATGAGCCCAGCCAGTGTGGCTCAGTGGTTGGAGCACAGACCTATGAACCAGGAGGCCACTGGTTCGATTCCAGATCAGTGCACATGCTCAGGTTTCAGGCACCATCTCTAATGTGGTGTGAGCAGGAGGCAGCCAATCTAGGATTCTCTCTCCTCATTGATATTGCACTCTCTCTCTCTCTCTCTCTCTCTCTCTCTCTCTCTCTCTCTCTCTCTCTCTCTCTCTCTCTCTCATTTTCTCTCTGAAATCAATTTAAAAAATATAAAAATATATACCAAAGCCAGCTAAGCACTGTTAGTGAGCAGGGTCACTAGAAACAATATAATGAGAATGAAGAATGCTAATCAGATCATCAGAAAATATACTTCTTCCCCATACCTTCCAGGAAGGGGAGCTCATATTAAAACAAGGAGAGGAAGTTTGGAGTGTCAAGGGGTGAAACATTAGAATAAGTCTTCTTACCACATTGTGTTTTGAGTCAGGGCCAAGCCTGCTGGAAATTGTATAAATCTCAGACTCAGATTTAGGTTTCATGATGTTTCCAAACCACTTTTGAACCTGGAACAAGATGGCTTTTGTTAATATTGGAGAAGAGAAAAGGCAGAGTTGGGAAGAGAAAAGAGGCATTATGAAAAAAAAGTTTTTCCTACAAAATCTGGTTTATATACATAACAAAATGTTACACAACCTTAAAAACGAAAAAAATTTGGACACATGCTACAATGTGGATGAACCCTGAAGACACTATGCTGAGTAAAATAAGCCAATCACAAAAGGACCAATACAATATGATTTCACATATATGAGATCCTTATAATAGTCAAATCAATTGAGACAAAGTAGAATGGTGGTTGCCAGGGGCTTGGCAGGGGAGAATGAAGTGTTATTGTTAATGATTATGGGGTTTCATTTTGGGATGATAAAAAAGTTCTAGAGAGGAATGAGTGGTGATGGTTGCACACAATGTGAATGTACTTAATGTCACTGACCTGTACACTTAAACATGGTTAAAATAATAAATTTTATGTTATATATATTTTACCATAATAATATCTTTCATTACAGGATACATCTTTGTTGTGGAGACTTACAAAATATGCTACGCAGAGGAAAAGAATAGACGTCACACATAATTCCTAAATCTAGTAAAAGACAACTGATGTTTTGGTGATATACTTCCATGTGTCTTGGTTTGGGGTCCCTTGAAGGAGACCCTAAGGCAGGGTTCAAGTGTAAAGAATTCATTTGAGGGGTGTTCTTAGGAAAACACTAGTAAATCAGTGAGGAAGTGCGATAGGGCCGGGAAGGCAGTCAGTAAAATGTACCCAATCCTGCCATAGTGGTTTTGGCTCAATGGATAGAGTGTCTGCCTGGGGACCGAAGGATTCCAGGTTTGATTCTGGTCAAGGGCACTTGTCTGGGTTGCGGACTTGGTCCAATGTGCAGGAGGCAGCCAGTCAATGATTCCTTATCATCATTTATGTTTCTATCTCTCCCTTTTTCTCTGAAATAAAACAAAATATATTAAAAAAGAAAGTACCCAATGCTTTCCACTTCAGAGTCATCCCACCTCAGGGACAAGGGATCTGGGTCATTTATCCACCAGCCTGTCCTGTGTACAGGCCAGGCACGTCCTGTGGGCAGTAAGAAGCTCATAGGCACAGAGTCACAGATTTTTTTTTTACACTGATTTTTAGTTTATTGAGAGACTACTTTATGCTAGACACTCTGCTGGGCCATTTATACATGCATTATCTCATTTAATGTTCTCATTAACATTTTGTTGTTAATTCTCTCCCCAGGATATTTTTTCCATTGATTTTCAGAGAGAGTGGAAGGGAGGGGGAGACAGGATAACATCGATATGAGAGACACATCGATCGGTTGCTCCCACACACACTCCAACCGGAGCTGGGGATCAAGCCTGCAACCGAGGTATGTGCCCCCGACCAGAACCGAACCCACAACCCTTCAGTCCAAGTGCCAATGCTGTACCCACTGAGCAAGCGGCCTTAACTTTCAAGTAGTACCATTATTATTATTATCTATAACATAAAACAGAAACTTACAAATGACAAAATGTTTCTCCAAAATTAGAAGGCTAAGAAAATAAAAGAGCAAGGATTAGAACCAAGATCTATTTGATGGGGGCATGAGTTCCTAATTCTGGATAGAGTCATAGATTATTTTTAAAATAAATATATTTTATTGATTTTTTACAGAGAGGAGGAGAGAGGGATAGAAAGTTAGAAACATCGATGAGAGAGAATCATCGATTAGCTGCCTCTTGCACACCCCCTACTGGGGATGTGCCTGCAACCACGGTACATGCCCTTGACTGGAATCGAACCTGGGACCTTTCAGTCGGCAGACCTATGCTTTATCCACTGAGCCAAACTGGTTTCGGCCACAGATGTTTTTAATAAGCAATATGAGGCACACGGAGATGAATGGCAAAGGGATATGAGGGGGCCATGAACAGTATCTGCTACACCAAGGCTCCAGCCTTGGCACTATTGACATCTTGGATTAGAGTCATCCTATGCACTGTAGGATGTTTAGCAACATATTTGGCCTCTACCCAATAGATGCCAGTAGCACCTGCCCCCTGCCCCCCCGGGTGTGACAATCTAAGATGTCCCTAGATATTGCTAAATATCCCCCTTGGGTGTTGTTTGAGAACAATTGTACTTTGCCTTGCACACTCTTACCCACACATAAACAAATGCATAACAACATAAACAGTAAGTGCATATATACATTATACAAACAAAATGCAACATTTCTGGAGCAATGTTTTGAAATTTGCTTTTTCTCTCTCTCTCTCTCTAATATATTTTGAATATCCTTCTGGTCCTAAAATATTTTTGTGCCGGGACAAAAATGTACTGTTTCAAGACTATGCTGGTCCTTTGCTCTCCAGGAAGTGTTGGCTTGGTCAGCTCAGTTTCTTCCTCTCCTTCATCTACTGAGGAGATGTTCTTCTTTTCCTAGTTTGGTTTTTTGGGCACCTGAATACAGGCTGAGGAAAGGTGGAAGAGAGAGAGGTAGGGAAGGAGGGAGGGAAAGAAAGATGGATGGAGAGAAGGGGAGGAAGAGGGAGAAGGAGAGAGAGAGAAGAAGAAGAACAAGGAAGAGAAGCAGGAGAAGGAGGAGGAGGAAGAGGAGAAGGAAGAGGGGGAAGAAGAAGGAAGAAAAGGAGGAGGATAGAACTAGTAACAGGAGGGAAATTGTGTCAGTCAGGATATATTTTGCTGCAGTAACAAACAATCTCAAAATCTGTGGGATATTTGGACTATGTTTCTTCTTTAAGGTATTTGAGAAGTACAAATAAAGATCTTGAGTGATTCTGTATTTCTTCTGGTTGCTGGACTATGTTTATTAGGCCATTGTACTTCCTGACCTGAACTATGTGGAGCCCAGCTTCATTGGGGTTTCAGTCTTCTACATTATATTCAATACTTCATGGTTGTGTAGTATCCTGTTCTATAGATGTAGTATAATTTAGCTAAATCTAGGTAGAAGTATCTCAGTTCGATAGTGCATATTAGGGTTTCATCATGTCTAGGGTTCAATTTTAGAGACAACACGCAGTCCAAATTATCCCCGAGTGCCTCTTAGTTAGGTAACATCTTAAAAGCTTATCTCAACAAGCCCAAAGCAGCCAGTATTTCCCGTGTGTTGGATAGACACCCCTGTTTCTTTTGCTCAGCTGCACATACAAGGATTGGCTTGTATTGAGTAGTCATACTGAATATAAAATATATATCTGAATTTTATAGCTAAGCCAAGCTAAGCCCAGCCAAGATCATCTGAACTCTCACCAACCTGTGGACTGAGAATGAGAATATTACATATTTACGTGTAAGCCACAGATTTTTGAGGTTGTTTGTTAACACAGAAGTAGATGACGATTACAAATGGGAAAGCTGAAAACAAACATGGTATTTCCTCGATATAGCAATTATTTACTTTGTAAAGCCATTACTAAATGGACACATCTCACAATCAATAGCATCTCAAAATAGAGAAAATATAGGTAGCATTTACATACTGCTCACAAATTCACATGAAAATCTAGGGAATGTGTATCTAAATGTCCACTAAGCTCCAGACCTGCAAATTTTTTTTCTTACCTTTAAAACAATTAAAGAAAGGGGTAACTGTTTACCTGCTGGCTGAGGAGGCAGTAGACCAGGAAAATGAAGGCACCCTGAAGGCTATTGAGGATGGTGAAGAGGTAGCCCATGACCCGTCCAGCTGGGCCCACCTGCACGATGCCCAGACACCACGTGCAGCCAAGGATGAGGACCAGCGCTGCTGCCTTCAGGGTCAGCATCCTGAGGGGAGTGAAAACGAACATGTGCACAAGCTGGTAATGGACATGGACACCCTTACAGAGTGGTTGGTCATGGTGAGGACTCTGGAGCTAGACTGCTTTGGCTGAAATCCAAAGGCAGCACTGTGTGACATTGGGCAAACTGCTCTACCTTTCTATAACGTGGGTTCCCCCACCTTTATAATAGTCCTGTTTCACAGGGCTGCCGTAAGGATTAAATGAGGCTGTAACATATGTATGTAGGATAATATATGGAGCAAAATAAGAACCACATATGCATAAAGCATTCTAAAACTAGGGGCTTTTTATTTCTTTCTCTTTTATAAGATGGAGGGCCATATAATTTGTTAATCAAACAGGGAGATTTTTGAGATTAAAAAAGGTACTATTAATAATTACAATGGCATAAACTAGGACTGTCCCAGGCAAACTGAGATGTAAGGTCACTGTATACCTTCATATATACATATTTATCCCTAATTTAAACCATAATGTTTTATGTGAGAGAAGCTGGTTGAGGAAAGATTTGTGTAGTGTGTTGGCTCTTGTATGTGTGCCTGTCTGTTTTATAGAAATTCACAGAAAAAGGTCTGGGGAAAATAGCACACATATTATATCACATCTATCATAAAATTTGTTAATTCCAGCTTTCTTGGGAAGTGGAAGTAGTAGAAAAAGAGGGAGTTAACATTTTCACTTTACATATTTTGAGAAAAAAAATAGATATCATGTTATTTTTGTGATTAAAGTGAAAATAAATTATGTGTCCCCAGTAAAATGCATGATGCAAATTAAAAAAGCTCCGAGTCTCAATTTTTTGAAATAGTATTATACAAAAATATTATAATCTAAATTCTTCCTAAACCCATTACACAAAACCCTTTAGATATTTATTTAAGTTTGTTATAATTAGCTAAATTGGTCTCTATCAATGGGGTGAACCCAGTTTTGCTGGGGCATCCTACAGAAGCACAACTTTTAGAGTTTCTATAGAACCCAAGCCTTCAGTAACTGATGGATTCACAAACTTAAGTTGGTTGTTTTGATAAAAAGAGTATTCCTGTGTGCATCTTGTGTTGTGTGGCAGAAACTGCTATTTTTGTCCGTTCTCCTCCTCTTCCTTTTCGGGTTAGATCCCTCCCCTCTTAGAGTTTTTCCAAAACACATGGCTACCAGGTTAGAGACCATATATTTCCAGACTCCCTTAAAGCTAGTTGTCACCATGTGACTAAGGTCTGGCCAATAAAATCTGAGCAGATGTGGGCCATGCAACTTCTAATGGATGGGAAACTGACAAAGGAATGGTGGAGAAACAAAATAGGAAGGACCCGAGTCTCGGCATCACTCTGTGGAGCAGAGCGTCCCCACCAGCCCTGGACTGCTCACCTCTGGACTATGACATGAGAGTAACATAAACTTCTATTTCACTCTTTTTGACGGGGAGGGTCTTTTGGTCTCAATAGCTTAGCCTGGACTCTATCTAATATGGATATTGGGAGATGACAGAAGCCTTGTTAGTCCCTGGAGCCTGGTTGTGGGGTGTATGTGTGTGCAGATATGAAGGAGGGGCAAGGAGAGGAAGAGAGTATCAGAAGTACCACGTGCTCCATCTTACCTTATATTCTGGATGGTTGACACTTGACTGTTGAGGGAGGAGAATTTCTTTTTCAAATTCCAGAGGACCAAGAGAAAAAATGCTAAATTTGCCTGCAGGAACGACACAGACCAGGAATGCAAGTGAAAATAATGCACTGCGTCCTTAATAAATTGCACATCACTGCTCCTCTCCTTGCACACAGGACGGAATTGGTAGCAGGTGGAAAAGTAAAACCATACAACAGAGGAAATGCATTCCCCATGTGCTGTCTTGCACTCAGCATTTCTGATGCTGCCCCAGTCCTGACCCCTGGTGCCACATACTCACGCAGATAATGACACAGACGGGGCCAAGGAAACCCCAGATGAATCCTTGTTCCAGGTGGAGCCAGCAGCTGGGAATCAAGGGGAAAGGGACCCAGAGAGATCAGAGATGAACATGAAGTGACGCTTTTCCTAACAGAGAACATGTCCATTGTCTTCTGACCATGTCAGCTGACAGCAATGAAGGTTTTGATTGCTACCGACTGTGTGCCAATGCTACATTACGCATTTTATAAGCACAGTTCTGTCGAATGTTCATACCAAGGCCATGATGGTGCGAAAATGGAGATAATGCTAACGAGGAATCGGAGACCTGAAAGCTCCAAATGATGGGAGGGATAAAGCTGGTACTGAACCACAAAACTCCCTCCTTTCACAACCTTCCAAGCTCCTACTGCTCCATCTTTCCCTGCTTCCCTGGAGAAAGGCCAGCAGTCTTACATGCTAGGGAAAAGATATCCATTTGCTATGGACATCTCAATCACCATCATTGATGCTGCCTCCCCCCACCCAAACTGTCCATGGCACAGGGTGTGAGCCCAGCTCACCGTTCAGGGGTTCCATAAAGGTGAGGCCTGGACGCTGCGGAAATGCCCACGATCACAGCAGGGACTCCATAGCCGACCGGGAACATGAGCCACTTCATGAACTTGCTCACGCCGGAGTAGTTGACCACCGTCAGGTTGCGAGCGGTGAGGAAGAGGTGCAGGCCCTCCAGCAGCATCCAGGTGAAGGAGGCCAGGTAGAGATAGTGTAAGGCACCCGCGATGACTGCACACAGCACCTGGGGGAGGAGTGAGAGTCACCAGAGGGGGTTCTTAGGGGTGGTGTGCGAACTGAGGGCCCCTCCTTGATCTTTGTGTTATCTCAGAGCACCTGGCATTAGACCAAGGCCATCAACAGTAAAGGTGCTAGGTCATCAGTGTCAGTGCTGCCCACCTTGGCACCACCCCTCCACCCTCTTCCAGAAATCAAAGCGATTTTATTAAGGTGCCCAAGCAGCAACCCATGGGGAGGACAAGGGTCCTTTGGGACAGTGTCAGTACCTTGTTCTCAGTTCTGTCTATGGCCGTGAGGAAGAGCAGGTGGGCCAGGAAGAGGCAGAGCGAGAGCTGCAGGTGGAGTGAGGTGCTGGTGTTCTGGATGGCTTTGCACAGCAGGAAGGTGAGGGCCGCCAGGAGGAGGCACAGCAGAGAGAGGCTCAGCCCCACGTAGGTGATCACAGCCAGGGCGGGATCCTCCTCCTGGGACCCAGCAAAGAGGAGACATCAGCCACACTTTCCTGCTCTGGGATTGTGGCTTCCCTGCTTGGAACAGGGCAGTCTAAACACAGGCACATGATGAGTTTCCTCAAAACCCCCCCCCCCCCACACACAAAAAAAACACACCCACAATGGAATACTATGCTGCTGTAAAAAGAAGAAACTCTTACCATTTGCAAAAGCATGGATGGAGAACATTATGCTTAGTGAAATAAGCCAGTCAGAGGAAGATAAATATCACATGATCTCATTCACTAGTGGAATATAATGAATAACATAAACTGATGAACAAAAGCAGATCCAGAGACAGAGAAGCATTGATAAGACCATCAAACCTCAGAGGGAAGGTAGGGGAGGGTGGGGCTAAGGAGGAGAGATCAACCAAAGGACTTGTATGCATGTATATAAGCATAACCAATGGACACAGACACCAGGGGGGTGAGGGCATGAATGGGAGTGGATGAGGAGGCAATTGAGGGATAAGGACACATATGTAATACCTTAATCAATAAAGAAAAAAATTATAAAATAAAATAAACAAAGCTAATGACAGATTGTGTGAGAGGTGTCTCTGAGACTGTCACCCCTTGCCCCAGCTTTATTGAAGTATATCTAATATACAAAATAGTGCATATATTGAGTACACATACCTTTTGATGAATTTGAACATAGGCATATATCATGCTATCATCCCCATGGTTAAGGTAATAAATATATCCGTCACCTTCAAAAGCTTTCTTGTGCCCCCTTGCTTTTTAAATTTTTTTATTTTTATTTTTAAAAAATATATTTTATTGATTTTTTTACAGAGAGGTAGGGAGAGAGATAGAGTTAGAAACATGGATGAGAGAGAAAGATCAATCAGCTGCCTCCTGCACAACCCCCATCGGGGATGTGCCCACAACCAAGGTACATGACCCTGACTGGAATGGAACCCGGGACCCTTCAGTCTGCAGGCAGATGCTCTATCCACTGAGCCAAACCTGTTTTGGCCCCCCCCCTTACTTTTTTAAATTTGTGGTAAGAACACAAGAGATCTATCCTCTTACCAAACGATCAAGTGCACAGCCCTCTCCTATTAACTATAGGCTCCATGATGATCAGCAGAATTCACACTGTTAGTGAATGGCTCTGCCAGACACAGTCTGCACCCAAAGAGACACAGAGAGTCCTGTGTAGCAGAGGCTACTAACCTCTTCATACTCGTCTGTACCTGCCCTTTGCCCGCTTTCTGTGAGCCCCCGTGACTCTGCCTGATGGCATGTCCCCTTGCTTGGACACACCAGAGCAAGTTACAACTTTATGCCTCTGGAAGCTGCCCTCAAATAACAGCAGTTGGGGAACTGGTAGATAAATACTCCGGCTTGTTCCACCTCTTGTGGGAAGGTTCTGAGGTGCATTTCCTACGACATCTCCCAGAAGTACCCAACAGGACTGGGCCTCACTAGTCCGTGGGGGTAACTTTTGTTGGATGCATCCTTTCCTGGCGGCCTTCTCTTCTCTGTCTCACTTCCCTACACACCTACTGAGGTTTCACCTCCCAGAGAAACTACTTTCCCTTAAATTCTTTTCTCAGGACCTGCTAGTGGGAGGCCTCAAATGAAGATACCCTATCTATCAATAACTACGCTCTTGGGGACTCATCTCACTCATTGAAGACAGGGGCCAGGGATCTGATGAGCCATTTAGACTCACTTCTGGGAAATGATAGTCATCATCCCTTATGATTATACGGGTATTTTTGCTTTTTTCAATGCCACTTTATAGAACGTTTCAATCCCCCCGCCACCACCTTTTTTTTTTTTAAAGTCAATGGAGTAAAAAGGGGGCATCTATAATACTTTCAATAATAAAGATACGTTTTTAAAAAAGCAAAAAGCACAAAAAGCCAATCTATTATATGATAAATAATTATTAAGTAAATACTGATCATGAACTAGCCTGTTGTCATTATCCCAGAAGCTCTTCCTAATTGCAAACCACCTTCTCCCCTAGAGGTAGCCATGATCCTTTTACGGTAAATTTTACCACCTTAAGTATCCAACTCCTGAGAATATAATTTAGTTATGTCTGTTTTCCAACTTTATATAGATGGGACAACACTCTGCTCCACAGAGTCACTCAGAAACTCATGATAACAGAGGCTCCATCATCTGGAGTGTGTTGCACCCTCATCACCCTGGAGGGTCCCACATGGAACTGCATGTGCTTCATCCTAGAAAGGTAGCACTGCTTTTAATAGCTCCTGACAGGAAGCAACCTCGATACTCATTAACTGTAGAATGAGTAAGTACATTGTAGTATAGTCCTGCAATGAAAATGAATAAACTAAGGCTATGCTCAACCCATAGATAAACTTCATAAATGTAACAATGAATGAAAGAAGTATTTTCATGTGTATAAACATACGAGAGGCCCTGTGCATGGGAACAGGGTGGGGGTGTGTGTGGCTCCTCAGTCCAGCCTGCACCTTTTCCTCAGGTGATGTCTGGCTAATGCAGTGGTCTGCAAACTCGTTAGTCAACAGAGCCAAATATCAACAGGACAACAATTGAAATTTCTTTTGAGAACCAAATTTTTTAAACGGAAACTTCTTGTAATGCCACTTCTTCAAAATAGACTCGCCCAGGCCGTGGTATTTTGTGCAAGAGCCACACTCAAGGGTCCAAAAAGCCGGATGTGGCTCGTGAGCAGCAGTTTGCTGACCACGGGACTAATGGATGTTGGACATCCTTAGTGCTGTGGTGGAGGCAGACCACTATGCTCCCCAGCCATCAGCCTGGCTTGTGGCTGAGCAGTGCTCCCTCTGTGGGAGTGCACTGACCACCAGGGGGAAGCTCCTGCATTGAGCATCTGCCCTCTGGTGGTTAGTGCGCATTATACGGACCCTTTTATTATATAGGACTAAAGGCCTGGTGCATGAAATTCGTGCATGGTGTGTGTGTGTCTGTGTGTGTGTGTCCCATAGTGCAGCCTGCATCCTCTCCAATCTGGGACCCCTCAAGGGATGTACAACTGCCTGTTTAGGCCTGATCCCACTGGGCCTGGTCCCCTCCAACTGCCCTCCCCTGCAGGCCTGGTTACCCTTAACTGCCAGGATTGGGCCTAAACGGGCAGTTGAACATCCCTCTCTCAATCCAGGACAGCTGGCTCCCCACAGCTGCCTGCCTGCTTGCCTGATTGCCTCTAACCACTTCTGCCTGCCAGCCTGATCAGTCTATAACTTCTCCCCTGCCAGGCTGATAGATGCCTAACTACTCCCCTGCCAACCCGATTGTCCCTACCTGCCCTCCTCTGCTGGCATGATCACCCCTAACTGCCCTCCCATGCAGGCCTAGTTGCCCTCGACTACTCTTCCTTGCCAGCCTGGTCATCCCTAACTGCTCTCCAGTGCAAGCCTGGTTCCCCCCTAACTGCCCTCCCCTGCAGGGCTGGTCCCCCCCAACTGCTCTCCCCTGCAAGCCTGGTCCCCCTTCAATTGCCCTCCCCTTCAGGCCTGGTCACCCCTAACTGCCCTCCCCTGCTTGCCTGGTCACCCATAACTGCCCTCCCCTTGCTGGCCTGGTTGCCCCCAATTTCCCTCCCCTGCAGGCCTGGTCACCCCTAATGCCCTCCCCTGCAGGTCTAGTTCCCCCCAACTGCCCTCCTTTTCAGGCCTGGTCCCCCCTATTGCCCTCCCAGCAGGATTCGTTGCCCTCAACTACTCTCCCCTGCAAGCCTGGTCCCTGTCTCTAACTGCCCTTGCCTGCAGGCCTGATCTCCCCCAACTGTGCTCCCCTGCTGGCCTGATCGCCCACAACTGCTCTCCCCTGCTGGCCATCTTGTAGCAGCCATCTTTGACCACATGGGGTGGCCATCTTGTGAGTTGGAGTGATGGTCAATTTGCATATTACCTCTTTATTATATAGGATAAGATGCTAGCTCCCCAATGCCCTGTGTAATTGGGGAGGTCAGAGATTTCCACTAAGTGTTGTTTTGGGGTATCACCTCCAACCTGAGAAGAAGAGAGGGATGCAGGACTTCCTGTATGCTGTCACCTATCCTATGTCATTAGTAAGTTCTCCAACCCCACCTCTAGGCCCTGGACCAGTGTCCAATCTGACCTTCTCCCACCACCTCTACCACCTGAACCCCAGCCACCATCATCTCTTTTCAAGTCTATTCTTGCTACTGCTCATTCTTGACATGGATCTTCTAATGACATAAATATATAACATCCATGATGGAAAACCTCCATTGCCTTCTCATTGAAATCTGGAAGAAAACTAAATCTGGCATTCAAGATCTGGTATTTTTCTCCTGGTTCCATCTCTCCAACTTTGCCCCTTTCCAACTCCTTTCATTCACTCTACTCCAGCCACACTTCTCTCTGGGACACACCAAATTTATTCTCTCTTCAGAGTCTTGGCCATACTTGTATCTCTTCTTTAGATGCTCTTTCTGAGACCCTTTCCTACTGGCTTTTTAAAAATTGAGGTAAAATCCAAATAATATAAAAATCACCATTTTACAGGGTACAGTTCAGTAGCATTTGGCACGTTCAGTGTTGTGCAACCACTACTTCTATGTAGTTCCAAAATATTTTCATCACCTCCCAAATAAAACCCCATGCCCATAAATAGTTACTCTCATTCTTGCCTCCCCACAGCTCCTGGCAACTACAAATCTGTCACCATAGATTTGCCTATTCTGGACATTTCATATATGTGGAATCCTACAGTAAGTGGTCCTTTGTGCCTGGCTTCTCTCACTCAGCATCGTGTTTTCAAGGTTTATCCACATCACAGTACTACTGATGCTTAATAACCAGATTTCAGCTCTCATATTTAATCCTCTGACCATTCTATCTTAAGTGGCACCCCACTCCAGTCACTCCTGTCCCTCACTAGTTTTCATTTTCTTTATAGCACTCATGGACACCTCACAGAGGCTCAACAAGGATTAGGTGGAGGAATTAAACGCGTACATCATACCTGGTTAGTGAAGGCCATGAGGACAGCGAAACTGGACAAGTGAGTGCATCTGCAGGTGGTATGACTCGTGTTCACCTGTACCAGGAAGCAGCCAGCCCTGGACCAGTGGCCGTCCTCCCCTGTGCTCTCCCAGAAGACACAGAAGACCTTCTTGCTCAGGGGCTTCATCTGAAAATAGAATGGGATCGCTGTGTTCTTGCTCAGGAGGAGCAACTCTTAGAGTGTTGGTCTGCGCTGAGGTGCAGAATGAGAACATGGCTGAGAGCGACTCAGGTAATTTCTGTTTTAAGTGAAGAGAATGGCCACCAGGACAACAGCCCCCATAGCTCCACCTCTATCAGGATTTCACAAAACATAAAACAAGGTCATCTCTCTCTGTGGCAGCCTGCATTTTACACGATGTCATGACTTTGTACCCCCACAGATAAAATGAGAGTGTAAGGCTCACCCATAGGTTTTCTCCCAAGTGCTCTCCAAGCCAAATTTCCCTGGTTTTCCTCAACCCCTCCAACTTTCGAAAACAGTAACAAAAACATTTCTCTGGTCCCTTGACATCAGTTTCTTTCCTGACAACACAATGCTTACTTGTGCAATGAGAGTAGTGGCATAGGAAAAGAACATCGCCAGGAGATACAGGATAAAATTAGCCTTCTCTTTGTCTCAAGGGCTTCTAGGGAAACAGTTCATGGGGCCTGTATCTCCTTTGATAACCCACTGGCCCATTCCCAGATTTCTTGCTCCACTCCCTCTGCCCCATGCCATTCATCAAAAATTTCATGCCTAGATTTTTGCATCAGACAGAGAAAACCTACATTTCCCCGCCTTTCTCCGTCAACCCTTACTTTCTTAAATTTTTATTTTAAAATTAGATTAATTTTCCAGCTTTATGGAGAGACAATGGACATATAACCTTGTATAAGTTTAAGGTGTAAAATGTAATGATTACCACAACAAGTTTAGTTAACACCCATCACTTCTCATCATTACAACTTTTATTTTGTGGTGAGAACTTTAAAACCCTACTCTCTCAGCAACTTTCAAACATACAATACTAGAGGCCTGATACATGAAGAGTCATGTAAGAACGGGCTTTCCTTCCCCTGGCTGTTGGCACTGCCTTCAACTTCCTGGTTCATAGGTCGATGCTCAACCACTGGGCTTCCTTTGGTTAAAAAAAAAATCTTCTAAAGTCTCTATTATTTCCCTAAAATTCCTCTTAATTTTCCACTCTATCTTAATCTCTACTACGCTCTCTCAACTCTACTTCTCCATCGCCCGCCCACCATTTATCTTTTTCTACAGAGCAAGTTTTCTTGCTCTTGGCACCTCTATGTGTATATTGATCAGGAATTAGCAACCTATGGTACCTTATGACCACGTGGCAGTCACTATCCCTCACTTATCCTTCTTCCTTATCCCATCCTTTCTCCTTACTTTTTGTTTTTGTATTCAATCATCATGATCCATGTCTTTTATCTTCCTTTCATAGGATAATCTGTACCACTTGAGACTAGAGGTATCATCGAGCTGACTGTTGACAAGCAGTAGTGGCAAATGAAAGTGAAAGAAAGTGCCTGAATTCTCACCATTCCTTCCCCTTTCACCTGCTACTCCTTTATCACTCTTTCCTTCATCTAGAGTAGGGGTGTCAAACTCAATCAGAGAAGGGGCCAAAATCTAAAATCCAGCCTAAATCGAGGGCCGAATGGTTTACTGAACAGTCATAAACTTTCATTGTGATGGAAACGCAGCGGAGTGCAGTGATGACAGCGTGGTGCGGACCACATTGCAAGGCCTGGCGGGACGGATTTGGCCCGCGGGCCTTGTGTTTGACACATGTGATCTAGAGTCTGATAAATAGAGGCAGTTTCTGCTATAAACTAATTATTCATTAGTGTGGTGTGGTGAGAGATTGGGGAACCAAGGTTTAGGATAGTCTAGATGATAAATTCCAACAATAAAATTCCTGTCTTCAAGGATCACCCAATATAGTGAATCCCACCATATTTTAAATGCTTAACAACTACAGGTAGCTCCTGGCTACGATCTGGGGCAGCCCAGGTCCAGAATCACTGACTGGGAGGCGATGCATTTGTTCCATCTACTTCTGTGAAACCCAAGCAAGCCCAAATAGCAGGTCTGACCCACCTTCACGTGCTGAAAACTTAGAATCACAGGCCTGGAGAGAGATGTGTTCCTTTTGGGTCCAATAGCAGCGCTGACTACCTGGGAGTTCAGGTAAACGCGTTCTTCCTCATTTATCTGGCTAAAAAAAGTCGCATTTATGATATTTCCAAGAGAAGAGTATGCAATAAAGATAACTGCACTGGGACCTGAGGAAAGAGAAAAATGAAGTGCCACCATCATTCCATCTGCCCCCTTTCCTGCTCCACACATATCATGCTCCCAATGAGGGTCACACCTGTGCTTGGGTGTGCCTGGTAAGTTCACTCTTCCTCCCACGCTTCTCCTCCCCAAATGCAAGTCATCATGAAGGGCCAGCTCAATCCCAGCCTCTGGTTTAAGAAGCGTCATGATGCTTTTTCGAACTTTTATTTCAGATGCAGTCCCTGTCATGCCAATGAGAATTCAGTTGTCCACTAATTATTTCATTTGGAATGAGCTCTTTTTCCCAACAGACGCTGCATCTCTTGAGTGGCTTCATTTGGAAAGCACAGGGCTCCCAGCACAGGGCCAAACATCTTTATTTCATAAAAAAAGTTAAACTTATATTTCAAACATTCAGAAACTATGAGACATCTACTCCCAGATTTAACATGTATTATTATTTTTCCATATTGGCTCCAGAAGTGTTTTTAAGGAGATAAAATGTTTTAAAAATGGCTAATGCTCCCACTGTTTCTTTTCCTTCTTCAGAGATAACTATGGACTGGAAGTGAACGTGTAGTCTTTCCATAAATACTTTTGTCATTTTACTACATATATATGTTTCCATAACAATACAAAATCTTGTTTCCTGAGTTTAAGAACTCACATAAATGGTGATATCCTTCGGATATCCTTTTGCAACTTGCTTTTTGTCACACCAGTTAATATTTTAAAGATTTAGTCATATCAATACATGCATAGTTTATTTCAGTTACTGTATAGTGTCATGTTATTTATAGACTACAATTTATTTGTTGTTAGAATAAATGATAAAACTTTGATGAAAAAAGAAAAAAAAAGAGAAATAATCCCCATAAAATATTCCATCACTTTGAGATAATCACTGTTGGAGTTCTGGATTTTTTTCTAGGCATATATATGTGTATCTAAATATATGTGCATGTCCAAGATAGCCAGTAGAGAGCTGAGTATTGGGAATTATCTGGTTCTATGGGAGTGCTGCACCTTTATATTGATTTTCTATTGCCAAGCAATTTCACAGCTCTATGGGCATAGAAGATAACATGTAGAAAAATTGTTAGTAGCACAAGTAGTTTTTTCCATAGACACAAGTGCATGCTGTCTGGTAGATATGCAGCTACTTTCTACCCTATGGAAAATATAACCTCACCCTGGCCAGTATGACTCCATTGGTTGGGCATGTGTACCGAATGATGGCCAGTTTAATTCTGGGTCAGGGCACATGCCTGGGTTTTGGGTTCAAACACCAGTAGGGGACATGCAAGAGGACTTTTTGGGAAGCTGACTAAATCTGTGTGATGTCATTCCACTTTCTCTGCAGCCTCTTGAAGAGACTTCAGCAAAGATGGACTTATTTTTCAAGCCTTTTAGATTTGGATAAAATATAATGTTGACAGTGGACTCAAGGAAATCCATTTATAGTTGGGTGACATGTATCTCTATCTATGTGCACATATGTATCAGTGATTTCCTTTCTACATATTATATATATGTAAACCAGAGCTAGAAATAAATAACATATATGGAAATTATAATTATCTATCTATCTATCTATTTATCTATCTATCTATCATCTATTTAGCCACCTATTTATTCAACTTTTTTTTTTTTAATTCTCACTCAAGGATATTTTTCCATTGATTTTTAGAGAGAGTAGAAAGACAGGGAAGAATATTAATGTGAGAGAAACACATGGATTAGTTGCCTCCTGCACACACACTGACCAGAGGTCAGGGGAGGAGCCTACAACTGAGGTTTTGTCAGTTACTAGCTGTGCAGTTTCTCTAACCAGATTTCTCTGGCCTCACTCCAGGGATCAGAAGTAGGAGAGCCACTTGTTTCTCTAAGTTAAAGTCACTTTCTGTTAGAATGAAACACTGGTAGGTGGTTGGAAAACATAGGCAGGCGATATACTCGCCTGTTTTTATGCTTAGAAATTGCTTATTTTTCAGCTGAAATATTCTGGCATAAGAGCAAATCACAAGCAGGAAAGAGAAGAGTAGCTGTAGAGGTTTCCAAGGCCGGTCTCCATGGCCTTGTGGGTTTATTCAGTGATATGTTTTACGGGAGAAAGGGTGAGTTACATCTACAGTTACTGACAAAGTTCCAGTTCCCACCTGGTGTCCTGGTGTAATTGAACAGTACCCTTTTCCAATTTTAAAATTGTCTCTGTTTGAAGATAAATCACAAGATTACTGTAGACAAGCAGTTCTCAGCTGAGGGTGATTCTGCCCCCCTCAGGGAACACAGGGCAATGTCTGGAGGCATGTTTGGTTGTCACAATTGGGAGGTTGCTCTTGGCATCTAGTGGGCCAAGGCCAAGGATATAGGACTGAGAACACTATAGGGCCCCAGAGAATAACCTGGCCCTTTAAGTCAATATAGCTGAGATTGCGAATCCAGATGGAACCTAAGGACTGAGCAATGTCCCTCTATTAGTTTGTCACACATCCATCAATGGGTTCTTTTCTCTCATTAGTAATGTTAAGGCTTCAGGTTTAATTTGATGAGCTTTTTGTTGTTTTCCAGATACAGCACCTATAGAGAAAAAACTAATGGTTCCAGCCTTGAAAGAGATCCAAGTTCAATGAAGGAGACAAGGCTGTGTCAATCAACAGAAACAACACAACATGGTAGATGCCAGGATAAGGTAGGTTCATGCTGGGGAGGGGAGAGGAGAGGCGGGGACTCACAGAGGAGGGATGGCCTCTTTCTGGTGCTGTGATGGGAGTGGGCAGTCCTGGGAGGTGAAAGTTGAGTTGTATTAAAAGAAGAGTCAAAGTTCACCCAAAGTGATGGTTGGCATTCCGGGCAGAGAAACAGCCAATGCAAATACTTAGAGATGAGACCACAGGGTCCACTAAGGGGTGACAAATAGTCTACTGCTGGGCATGTCCATGCCAGGTGCTCCTCAAAGCTCACGGCATCCCACTGTGATGTGTATAATTTATTTAAGCAGTTCAGCATAGACGGCTGTTCTGGGCTGAGCTGTGTCCTCATGAATCTATATATTGAAATCCTAAGCCCCAGGGCGTGACCAAGGAGGAGCAAACTGGGCTGAAGATGTGATTTTGTAGCCTGTACTGTGTGAACTCTTGCACTCTCTACAAATTGTGAGGAATTGCAGAGGAATCCCATGACAATGCATGTGTGAAATTATGTGATTGGAGGTTAGCTCCCCTCCTCTGCCTGGTCCATTCACAAATGGAGGCAGATTCAAGTACTTATCTTCTCGAGGGAGGAAAGTGATAGGAACTGACTGTCTCATGAGATTGTCTCAGATCAGAATGCGGTCTATGTTTTACTTTGGGAGTTTTGATGGACAGTACAGACAACTGTATCCACATTTACACGATTGGATTTCAAGACCCCATTTATCATGCTATAGCAGTTTTAGCTATGTGGCAGTTATAGTACATGTATTCTTGCAAAATTGAAAAATTAAAGGTTTTCATGCAAACAACTCAGTTTTTGGTTTCTCTTAGAAAAAAAAAAAAATCAGCCGAAACCGGTTTGGCTCAGTGGATAGAGTGTCGGCCTGGGGACTGAAGGGTCCCGGGTTCGATTCCGGTCAAGGGCATGTACCTTGGTTGCGGGCACATCCCCAGTGGGGGGTGTGCAAGAGGCAGCTGATCAATGATTCTCTCTCATCGATGTTTCTAACTCTCTGTTCCTCTTTGTGAAAAATCAATAAAAAATATATTAAAAGAAAAAGAAAAAAAAAATCAGAGTTTTTGCAGTTACAAAATAGTCACAGGATGTAAACTCCAGCATAGGGAATGTAGTCAATAGTATTATAATAACTAGGTATGGTCAGGCAAATACTAGATTTATCAGGGGAATCACTTTGTAAGTTATATAAATGTCTAACCACTATGCTATATACCTGAAACTAATATAATCCTGAATGTTAACTGTAATTGAAAAAAAAAGTAAAGAAATGACTAGATAATGTGAAACAAAGCTGAATTCATTTCTATCTGCCCCCCCACCCCCCAAAAGAAAAGTCAGAATGTGGTAGCACTGGGACAATTAATAATAGCAATCTGTAGTAGATGCTACAGGCACTCTGGCTTTATTCCCTTGGCACTGTTGGTTTCTTTGTATGCTGATGGATTTTACCCAACAGCTGAGACTCTGCCCAGGAGCTTTCCTTGAGAGAATGTGTTTGGTCTGCACTCAGGGCAGAGTGGAAGGGTCTGGAAATGAACTCCCCAGGTGGGTCTTCAACTGGTGGTGAATCAGCACAGGTGGATAAATGGCTCAGTTCCTTCTCCTTTAGCGGGATAACTCAGTGGGATTGAGCCCCAGTCACCACCAGCAGTAACCTGTTCACTAGCATAACAATCCCTGTATTGGCTGCCTTTTCTCCCCTCACTTCCTCTCTCCACAACTTGGGTAGTTTATTTTATGTTAACATAGCAAGTACATGGTACACAGATATTTGGTTAAACACCAGTCTGGATGTTGCTGTGAAGGTATTTTTTAGATGAGATTAATATCTATCTATTATATCTAGCATCTATCTATCTATGTGTTTCCCCGAAAATAAGACATCCTCCAAAAATAAGATCTACTTACAGGTTTCCTTCTGAGTGAAATATAAGGCATCCCCTGAAAATAAGCCCCCCCCCCCCCAGGCTAAACATAAGAGATTTGGTCCACTGATTCTGAAAGAAATGGAGTCACAAGAAATTCACCAGGAAATTCAGGAATTGGATTGTTATGATGATGTTCCAGAAAATGATGACATAATTGTCATTGAATAAATGAGTAAATTCTTGATACTGTAGGCTTCAGTTTGTCTGGTTTGTGTTGACAACTACCATACTACCTTACCGTATACAGGTAATACATTTCCTTTATTTTCATTTAACAATAAATGTGTACCGTATTCTTCTTCATGGAAAAATAAGACATCCCCTGAAAATAAGACCTAGTGCATCTTTGGGAGCAAACATTAATATAAGATACTTCTTATTTTCAGGGAAACAGGGTATCTATCTATCTATCTATCTATCTACCTACCTATCTATCTATCCATCCATCCATCTATCATCTGTTTATCTATATCCTTTAAAATTTTTTATTTTTGTTTGAATTCTTACAGTAATAGTTATTTATTTTATTTTAAAAATTATATTTATTGAGGTGACATTGGTTAATAATTCTACAATACATGATCTGTATGGTATATTGCATTGTGTGTCCACCACACAAAGTCAAATCACCTTCTATCACCAATCACCATATATTTGGCTCCCCTTACCTTTTACTGTCGCTTCACTCCCTTTCCCACAATCTTAGGGTAACCATGGTACTGTTGTCTGTGTCTATGAGTTTCAGTTTTATATCCCACATATGAGTGAAATCATATGGCTCTTACCTTTTTCTGACTGACTTGTTTTGCTTAGCATAATATACTTAAGGTCCATGTGGTACATGTGTACAATGGAATACTACTCAGCCATAAGAAGAATTGAAGTACTGCTATTTGTGACAGCATGGATGAATCTTGAGATTAATGCTTAGTTAGGCTTGGGTAAAGCAGATTATCCTCCATCATATGGGTGGGCCTCATCCAATCAGTTGAAGGTCTAAAGGAAAAGACTGGCCTCCCCTGAGGAAGAGGGAATTCTGTCTCCAGACTGTCTGTGGACTTGGGCTACAACATCAGCTCTTCCCTGGCTATAGTTTAGACTTGCCAGCCTTCACAATAACATGAGCCAATTCCTTGAAATTTGTCTCTGTCTCTCTTCACATACATTCCATTGGTTTCTCTGGAAACTCTGACTAATACACTTATTGCTGCTTCTTTGGACCACCTCCTAAATAAGCTACACTGAAACCCCTTACAATTCTTCTAGAGACTGCTTCTGGGTGAACCCCAACTGAGATGTGGATGGAGCAGCCCCCAAATAACAAAGAAGTCTCTTCCATGCTGAAGAACAAAAAGCTTCCACTTTGAGGAGATTTTTTTTTTTTTTTAAATTTTTTTTTTAAGGATAAAACTCAACTGACACAATCTTAGGGTAACAAACCCAACCAATAGGAACCTATTGGGGGATGCTTCCTTATGACTCACAGTGATTTTGCTGTGTGTGTCTTAGAGTTTCTGAATGCAGCCGCCACATGTACCTTGTAGGTTTTCCTGGATGACGTCATTGCAGTGGATGTCCAGTGAGTTCATCTGGACCTTCAAGTTGAAGATATTTCTTTCCTTGGAGCAATTGTCTGTAACAACTCGAGTTTCAACAGCTGGTAAGAAAAGTGCCAAGCAAGATTACTGTTATTATAAGTTTTAAAAAACCTGTACAGCAACAAAAACAGGCCACATTTACTGAATGTGTTGGGAGGGATGCCAGGCACTGAGCTAAGAGCCTTATACATTGTCATCTTATGACAGCCTCATATAACCCCACAAAGGGCCATTATTTAGATGAGGAAACTTAGATTCAGAAATTAGGGGTCCTCTCCAAGGCTTAAGATCATGATGGGGGTGTAGGTAAATGTGGTATTCGAATCCTCCCACCATCACATCAAAAGTACTACTAAACTACTAGCAATCATCATTCAGAACCACCTGAAATGTAGCCAAACAGAACTCCTTCAACTAAGGATTTAAGGAATAAGCCACATTGAGACTGGTGGGAGGGGAGATATGTGGAATGGGTTGGTCCTACATCCATGTGTGGTAGATAAAAATCAGGAGGGTATTTGCAGAGGTTACCCCCGAGGCCCCCAAAACAGGCTCCTCATTTCAGGGATTCAGTGCTGTGAAGAGAAGTTTACATAACTTCTGGTTGTAAAAACCAGCAGGGATTGTGGCTGAGACAGAGGGCTTCTGGAGTCCCAGGCAGTTCCTCTTAAAAGACCTGTGCATGGACTTACTCAGGCTCACTCATTCTCAGATCCAGAACTGGGGCAGCAGCTTGAAAGGCACCAGGGACATACAGAGAGGAACTGAAGTGTCTGGTATCCAGGTGAGAGCTGGAGGGGCAGCTTTCTCCCAGACAGAAGTATTGGCAGAGGCCACGGTTCCTTTTCTGAGCCCTTTCCTTACAGAGCCAGCAGGCAGGCACCATATCTGAGTCTTCATAAACCTGGCTATCACTGTTCACCCTGTTCTGGTGATTCCCTGAGACCCTGCCTCACCACTCGTGGGCACATCCAAGCTGTTTCCAGTGGCTTTTCCATACAAATAGCCTGTCTTGGTTCATGCTTTAGAGTTTCCTGAAATTTCTCAAATAAGCAGCATCTGGTCTCAGCATTATATGCACTATTTAAAAATATATATGTATTTTATTGATTTTTTAAAGAGAGGAAGGGAGAGAGATAGTTAGAAACATTAATGAGAGAGAGTCATCGATCAGCTGCCTCTTGCATGCCCCCCACTGGGAATGTGCCCACAACCAAGGTCCATGCCTTTGCCCGGAATCGAACCTGGGATCCTTCAGTCCACAGGCTGACGCTCTATCCACTGAGCCAAACTGGTTTCGGCTATCTACACTATTATAATCCCATTTTATAGATGAAGAAACTGAAGCTTACTGAGGTAAGGGCACTGGTTACCTGATTAAACAATTATAACCTGGAAAGATGAGAATTATTTGTAATTCAGGAAATGGTTCAATTTATAATGAAAGTGTCCAGATTCCAGTTCCCCAAGATGGTTAGGTACTAGATTTTCTTTTACCCTTTACATTTATTTTCATTATCATTATTTTTAAAGAGCATAAAGTATTTTATCAGCTAAGTTGGTAAAACAAAAATGGTTCATTAGGCATATACCAATCCTCTGATATCCCTGAGCTGAATAAAACACAACAAATATTTTTGGAGGCCCATATAGTGACGTATATCAAAAGTCTAAAAAATTTTTCCCCTTGACCTAACAACTCCTCCTTTATGAATTCTTCTAAGAAAATATCAAACAAATACAAACAGATAAAAAATTTTAGTGGTCTTTATCACAGGATTGTTTGGCAAAAACCCACATTTCCCAGAATAGGAAAATAAATTATGACACACTCATACAATGCAACTCTGTAAGTCATTGAAGACAATAATGTAGGTAATGATGCTGTCTTCAGTTTTCATGGAAATATTAGTGAGACAATGACTGAAAAAAAAACAGGCTTTGTGGAACTGTAAGTAAAATATAACATACACAACAAATATGTGTCCTCCTCATCACACAACTACCTAACTAGGAATAGGATTGGAAGACTGGGATATGGTCAGATTTAGTTGGTCTAAATTAGTTTTGTTTATGTATTTTCCTAATTAAAAAATTAATACTTGGTTTTGCTGTGGTATTTTATTTTTAAAAAGAAAAAAATATATATTTAGGTTTATAATATGATGATTTTACACATATATCCCTAGTGAAATGACAACCATAAAGCTAATTAACATGACATGTCACATGGGTGTGTAATATGTATGACAAGTGCAATAAAAGAATTTTCATTTAAAAATATCTCATAAGATGTTCCTTCTACATGTGTTATTAGGTTATGTAGACACAAGATTAAAAAAAAATACTTTTTAAGCCCAAATCCCAGACCCAGGATGGGAAATCCCTGAGAATCTTTTTTTTTTTTTAAGCAGTTCTATGGAGGTGTAATTGGTTGTAAACTAGAGTGTACAATTTGATTAGTTGTATTGGTATATACATCTGTAAAACCACCATCATAATCAAGGTAGTGAGCATTTCCATGACCCCCAATTTCCCCAATTTTTCTCATGCCTCCTTTCCATTCCTCTACTCTCCACTCCCTGTCACTGAAGCATCCATTTTATATAAAAACTGTTGTTTGAAATTTTAACCCTGCCATTTGGCTTCTGTAAATGCTTGCTTGCTTAAATAATAAGGAAAATAAGACTGCTCCCACTTCAGAGAGGCCATTAAACCTTCCCCGGACGAAATTATCAGTGCTGGCACTGGGCCAGGCCTTTGGTTGCGATCTCAAGGCCCCAGCACATAGGGGCTCTTTAAGAACTTGCAAAGGGGGCCTGAAACACCCCATATTTGGGAGACAAAGAAGATAAAAACATACAAATAGAGAAAATTCTTCCATGTTTGGGCTCAGAATTTGAGAGACATCTTCCTCTGGACCCATGTGTAATAAATGTAACTCCATTTCTCTAAGTGTTGCTTGGTTCTTCTCCAGTTTTCTGTAACATCACTATAGATTGGTTTGCAAATCTCCAGCATTTTATATAAATTGACTTATGCAATGTATTTATTTATTTTCTAACTGCTTAATACAGACCCCAGCTGGTAGCCAGACACCCCCCACCCCACTCCATGAGCATCAGGTCTTATTGTCTCCTTACCCACAGTATTATTTTGAAGTTTCTGGATTTCTTGGTCTGGGGCGTTCAAGGCAGTTTCTAGAACATTGGATTCCATAGTCTGGAGAATAGATGTGGCCTTGGATGCAACTTTTCTCTGCTCTCCTGATCCCCACAGAGTCTCATTGGCGAGAAGTGACTCAAAATTCTCAACAACCCGTTGTAGCTTTAAATATATAAATAAGAACAACAATAATAACAATTCACTCTGATAGGTCCCCACAACCCCAAGGCACAGTAGAAAGCACGAGAAAGCAAGTTTTGGAGCCAGAGGACCCAGTTCAAATCCTGACTCCACCATTCACTGGCTTTGTGAGCTTGGGAAAGACACTCGATTGCTCTGTGCCTCAGTTTCCCCACTTTAGGATGAGACAGTAATAGGACTCTATGGAGTTTTTTGAAAAAATTAAATGAGTTAGAAGATGCTACATGTCTGTGACTGGTAAATACAGAACAGGGTTAATTATTACCAACAGGGAAGTGGTATGTTTGCTCAAAGTAGACCAGGTTCTCAACCTGGGCAATTTTGACTCCCTGGGGCAAGCATGTCAAACTTGGGACCCACAGCGAATATTTTTTGTGGCCCAGCCAATATAATGGTTTATAAAAAATGGTTTAATAAAAATTTCATAACTTACTTTTTACAATATCCTATTATATATAATTATTAAAAACAAACTACAACTTTAATGACCAATTACTATAATCCTGTTGCATTCATTTCCCTTATGCGCCTACACACAGGTGCACCCTTTCTTTCCACTAATACTAGCAGTGAATATATTAGCATCCGATTGTCACGTCATTAGTCTTATACTGACTTGTTTGATGTGCACAACAGGAAATATTTCACTTTTGGAGAACAAGAAAAATAGGTTTATTTGCATTATGCTTATTAACTTCTGCAGTTATTCAGTGTCTGGTAAGTTAATGTTCAAGAAGAAATATTAATTTTTATCAAAATGTTCTATTATTTTATGTAGGCAATGACTCATTTATTTCAACCCTTTGTATTCAGCATGTCTCTATAGAAAGAAACCTATGTTTCTATGAAAATTGAAGCTTTTGTTTTTTTTTGCAGCCCACATAAACTTAAACCTTGTTCATTTGGCGCATGTTAGCCTTTGAGTTTGACATGCTTGCCTTGAGGACATTTGATCAAGTCTGTAGATATTTATGAATGTCACCACTGAGGCATGCTCTTAATATCCAGCGGGTGGAGGCCAGAGATATTGCTCCACATCCTCTAACTCACTGGCAGTGTTTCCCAAACTTTTGACATATGTGTACCCCTTCTATAATTTTCGTAACGCTGAGTACCCCTCATACTCATGAGAACGTAGAATTAGGCACAGCTAAGCACGGTGCAGTGCATAACCTCACCAAACTCCGGTGCAACACGTGCCCCCACCAAACTTTTCCCGTACCCCTGGGGGTACGCGTACCACACTTTGGGAAACACTGCATGCATAGCACAACCCCCACAACAAAGAATGACCCAGTCTCGAATATTATAACATTATAGTGTTATACATAGAGAAACTCCAAGGTAGACATAGCTCAGAAGGCACTATAATTGGCCTTTTAATTTTTATTTTTTAAAATTAAGTTTATTGGGGGATGACATTGATTAATAATTATGTGTTCCAAGTGTACAATTCTATGATGCATCATCTGTATATTGCATTGTGTGCCCACCACCCAAAGTCAAGTCTCCTTCTGTCATGATATACTTGACCCCTTCTACCTTTAACTACCTCCTTCATCCCCCTAATTTATCTTTTAAAATCAAGACATTTGTCTATGAAGGATAGCAAAGAGATGGGCCAATGGATGGAGAAGAATGGGGCTAAGGTGAAAGTTTAAAAATGTTTAAAAGTTTAAACATTCTAATCCTATGTATTTGCCTATTCTGGACATTTTATATAGACAGAATCAGCTCTGGCTGGTGTGGCTCAGTTGGTTGGGCGTTGTCCTGTGGACCAGAGGGTTGCAGTTCAATTTCTGGTCAGGGCTAGAAGGCATGCAGGAGGCAACCAATCAAAGCTACACTCTCACATCAGTGTTCCTCTTTCTCCCTCTCCCTTCCTCTCTAAAAGGAATCAATAAAAATATTTTCTAAAAAATGGAATCATAGATTGTATAATCTTTTGTGTTTGGTTTCTTTCACTCAGCATGTTTTCAAAGCTTATCCACATTGTAATATGTATTAGAACTTCATTCCTTTTTATGGCTGAATAACATTCCACTCTATGGGTGGATGAATTTTGCTTATCCATTCATTTGTTGATGAACGTTTGGATTGTTTCCACCTTTTGGCCATTGTGAATAGTGCTGCTGTGAGTCATCAGCAAGAAAGCTTTAAGGTAGGGTTGCAAATAGGTGTCATCTTTAATGCCAACACCAATCAATTAGTAGTGGCTACCTGCAACACTGTTGAGAAAGATTCTCAGGCTGTATTCAGATTCAGCAGAAAAGAATGCTTTGCTCAATCATTGCTATAGATCATGAATATATGACAGGAGAAATAGCAAAAACACACACCAAAAAACAGCGCTGCTGTGAACATTGGATATGCAAATACCTATTTGAATTCCTGCTTTAAATTCTGCTGGGTATATCATAGAAATGGAACTGCTGGGGCATGTGGTTTTTCGGTTTAACTTTTTGAGAAACCTGGCAATAAATTTTATAATGAAATGCTCCTTTTAATTATATGCTTATTTATTACTTCAATGAACATTTGTTAAACTCTCAATGAGGGCTTGGTGGTATTCCTGTCCTCAAGAAGCTCATGGTCTATGCGGTGACAGCATATCATGTAAATGACAGTCAGCTGGAGGTCACATGGATAACATGGATGGAACATGTACTCTGGATGACTCACTGTGCTAAATATTTGACATATATAATTTAATCTAAACTTCCCATCTATCTAAGGAGGTGGGTGCCATTATTACCCTCATTTTATAGATGCGTAAATCAATTCTCAGAGAGCGTGATGGTTAGTTTTATTTGTCCATTTGATGAGGCCATGGGTAACACACATATTTGGTCAAGCATCATTCTAGGTGTTTCTGGATGAAGTTAATATTTGAATGGGGAGACAGAGCAAAGTGGATTACCCTCCCTCATGTGGGTGGGCCTCATCCAGTCAGTTGGGGGCCTGAATACAAAAAATATTCTAGGTAATGGGGAATTTCCTTCTGTCTGACTACCCAGGGGCCTTGAGCTAGGAAATTAGTTTTCATCTTCAGACTTGAACTGAAACATCAGCTCTTTCTATGTTTCAAGCCTTCAGGCTCTGCTCTCCTGGTTCTCAGGTCCCTGGAACTCTCCCATCAGCTCCTCTGGGTCTCCAGTTTGCCAACTGCGGATCTTGGGACCTGTCACATATAAGAACCTGTCACATTCCATAATCACATGAGCCAACTCCTTGTAATAAATCTCTTGGTCTATATCTATGCTTCCTATTGCTTCTTTGTCCCTGGAGAACTCTAACACAGAGAAGTTGTGTCTTTTGCCCATGCCACTTGCCACTGTGGTGCTAGGATTTGAACCCCTGTCTACAACTGCTAGCTCCAGAGCCTCCCACCATAAACACACGGGGAAGGGGATATTAACTCAGATGGAGGTTGTTTAAGGAGGCCCTCCAGATGTAAGTGATACCCGAATGGAGTCTCTGGCAGAGAAGAGTGACAGGAAGCCAGCCAGGTTATGGACTGGGAAAAGGAAGTTCAGGGAGAGAGGATAGCATGTACCTGGAGGCCTGGAGATTGGGAGGGCAAGGCATGAACACTCCCTCTGCAGTAGGGCAGGGTGAGGGCAGAAGAAGGAATGAGCCCATTCTACTCAACTAGACCTTATCAGAGATATGAATCATTTAACCAAAATATTAACATTTAGAGTTGATTACTAATAGGTACTTTTTTGGTTTCTCTTTTAGCTATCTTAGAATATCCATTTCCCTTCTTCCTTTTGGTAACTGAATGAATCCCTCAGATTTCACGTAGGTCATGCTGCCTGACTTCGGGCCGTATTGTTCCAACTTCCCTTGCAGTTAGGCTTGGGCACATGTGCAATTTCTGGGTTGTCACTTAAGACATGTCTCTAAGCCTTGGCTGATGTGACTCGGTTGGAGTGTCGTCTCGAACACCGAAAGGTGGTGGGTTTGTTTCCCGGTCAGGGCATATGCATAAATTGTGGGTTTGGTTCTTGATCAGGATGCATATGGGAGGCAGCCAATGGATGTTTCTCTTGCACATCTCTCTCTCTCTCTCTCTCTCTCTCTCTCTCTCTCTCTCTCTCTCTCTCTCTCTCTCTTTCCCTAAAATCAATGAAGAAGAAGAAAAAAGACATGTCTGTAAAAAAAGGGAACCCTAATGTACTGTTGGTAGCATTGTAAATTGGTGCAGCCACTATGGACTACAGTATGAAGATTTATCAAAAAATTAAAAGTAGAACTACCATATGACCCAGCAATTCCACTTCTGGGTATTTATCTGATAAAATCCAAAATACTAATTTGAAAAGACATATGTACCCTTATGTTCATTACAGCATTATTTTCAATAGCCAAGATGTGAAAGCAACACAAATGCCCATCAATAGATGATTAGATAAAGGAGATATAGTACATATCTACAATGGAATATAACTCAGTCATATAAAGAATGGAATCTTCCCATTTGCGACATAATGGATGAACCTACAAGGTATTATTATAAGTGAAATAAGCTAGGCAGAGAAAGACAAGCACCATATGATTTCATTTATTGTGAAATCTAAGAAACAAAATAGCTCTGGCCAGTTAGCTCAGTTGGTTAGAGCATTGTCCCAGTAAGTTAAGGTTGCAGGTTTGATTCCTGGTCAGGGCACATACAAGATAGAGTGTTGGCCTGCAGACTGAAAGGTTCTGGGTTCTATTCCGGTCAAGGGCATGTTCCTTGGTTGCGGGTACATCCCCAGTGGGGGTGTGTGCAGGAAGCAGCTTATTGATGTATCTCTCTCATCTATATTTCTAACTCTCTCTCTCTCCCTTCCTCTCTGTAAAAAATCAATAAAACATATTAAAAAAAAGAATCAACCAATGAATGCATAAATAAGTGGAACAACAAATCTCTCTCTTAAATCATTTAAAAGTTTAATAAAAATAAAATAAATAAACAAACAAAACAGAAATAAACTCATAGATATAGAAAACATTTTGGTTGACAGATGGAGGGAGGTTGGGGAATGGGCGAAAAAGGGGAAGGGATTAAGATGTGCAAATTGCCAGTTATAGAAATAGTCACAAGGATGTATGCACAGCAGAGGGAATATGGTCAATAAGATTGTGATAACTATGTATGATGTCAGATTGGTTCTAGACTTATCAGGATGATTACTTCATAAGTCACATAAATGTCTAATCACTATGTAGTATACATGAAACTAATATAATGTTGTATGTCAACAGTTATTGAAAAATTAGAGAAAGACACGCTCTAAAATATGATCACACCTTTATTAGCATATCATAGAGTGATCTCATTGATGCATCCCTCCCTCCACTCTCTCCCTTTACTCTGCCTTCCAGACAATGTGCCCTAGACTCCCCCGCTCTCCCTATGAATGCAACAAGCAGCAACCCATCTTTGACCATGCAGTTGAGGACAAGATGCCAAGGGATGGAAAGAATGTGGGCACCCTTATTGGCCTCACAGAGCAGAATCCCTTCACCAGCCTAGACTGAATTTATCTCTGTATTGTTAACTTAGAAAGTAATAAAAATCTACCTTTTAAAAATCATTGAATAACTGAGCCTATGTTGCTACAGCTCAGAATACCCTAATACAGTCTTACTTAGTCTGTTTTTCTTGGTCTGGGATAGATCCTATCTTTAGGGGGCAGTACACACACACACATACACACACAATCTATCTATAGCTATAGTGATATATATAGTGACATACGTAGAGTGATAAACATGGTGGTATATAGTTGACCCTCAAACAACATGGTTTCAACTGAATGGGTCTATTATATATTATATATTGCATATGATGCATCAATATATGATCTATAATATATAGTACACACATAATATCTAGTACCCATCGCCATTTGCTAATATTTGCCTTTGTAGATATTTGTTACCAGGCTAGGTTCCAGGACTCAGCTTCCACTCACATCTTTATTGCCTTTGGTTGTGTTTGAGGAGGTGATCTCTGCAAAAGACATCATGGGCAAGTTACCATGGGAACTGAGAGTGAGAGGATGGAGAGGTGGGCAGGTAAGGTGAGCAACTTGAATGTAGAATGTCTGAAGGCAAACTAATGATGCTCATTGACAAGCTTCTTTGCTGTTTGGGGGATCAGAGTCCAAGTTCCTTGTTACAGTGTAGAACAGAGTTTTCCCACTGGGGTGATTTTGCCCTGAGGGGACACTGACAATGGCCGGAGACATTTTTGGTGGGTACAGGTTGGAACAGGGGATGCTACTAGAATGTGATGATTGGGAGGCCTGAGATGCTGTTCAACACTCTACAATGCACAGGACAGCTACTGACCACAAAAAAGTATTTGTGTGGTTAATTGTGCATTGGGAGGACACCTGTATCTGCTTTAGGAAGACGAGGAAAGGCTAGCAGATGTTTACATACCTGTTACCATCAAACCAAGGTTAAACCTATACCTAGTCCATATCTTGGTTTTCAGCTGAGTCTATTTGCTAAAAAGGGCAGAGAGCTTTCTTGTAACATTGAAGGTTTTGACTTAGGAGTGCAAGACCTTGGAATATCACTCAGTCATATAAAAGAATAAAATTTTGCCATTTGCAATAAGATGGATGGGCCTAGAAGATATTATGCTGATGAAATAAGTCAGACAATTTCTTCCAGGAAATAGAAACATGCCCTGTCCTCGCCACAAAAAAAATACCTTTTCTGGTGTTAGACTCAATGAAAAATGTGAAAGGAGGACAAGAAGATAAAAGTTTTCTTACTCTGACAAGTGTTCTCATTGGAATTCTTGAACTGTGTATTCCCAGAAAGGAGTTTATATCCAGGGTCACAGCGACAGTAGAAACTTCCTGGAACATTCTGGCATTCTGCATTTAGTCCACAATATATACTAATTGGTGGCTTACATTCATCAGTATCTGGAACACAAAGGAGAAATTTGGTCATTCATTCCGCAAAGATTTATTGTGCATCTAACATGCTCTCTCCACCACAGTCTATCCTGATTTTCCAAGACAATCAGTTAAGGTAACGGCTGTCCTTGCTCTTGCCTTTCCTCATTGACTTTGGTTGAGTTCTCCAAGAAGCAGACATTGAGACACAGACCCAAGTGCCAGTACTTTATTTGGGAGGTGATTCCAGAAAACACGGGAGGGGAAGTGGTGAAATGAGACAGGGATGGCAGAAAATAAAAAGAATATCAAGCAAGTTTCCACTGTGGATAACAGGGCCCCAATTCCTCTAGGTACCCCTGGGAGGAAGTGTAGAGCACACACTGAGTGATCCAGGCAAAGAGTGAGGGCGATAAGCTATTTATCCACCAAATCTCATCATTTAACCATGGAGGAATGCTCCCAGGGAGTGTTAAGTCCCCTTTCCACCTGTCCCAAACATGGGCTGAGTAGTCTTCAGTAGCTAGAGAAAGTCTCAGACTTGGTGTGCAAAGGAATGGCAAATGCCCAGGGCATCTAAGCAGGACATTTACCATGTCTGCTGTCATGAACTGAGTGTTTGTATGCCCTCTGTTCATATGTTGAAGCTCTAATCCCCAGTGTGGTTGTAAATGGGGCTTCCAAGGAGGTAACTGAAATTAAATGTGGTCATAAAAATGGGGGTCCCGATTTTACTCATATGTGCAATTTAATGAACAAATAACTATGAAGCAAAATAAAGACAGACTCAGATAAAGAGCAGGCAAGACACCTGGAGTCAGGGTGGGAAGGTGAAGGGATTGAACATTAACAACAAAAAAAGAGAGAACTCATGGACAGGGACAGCAGTGTGGTGATGGCAGGGGTGAAAGGGGATGGGCCTTTTAATTATTGAGCCAAGACTGCATTTTGCATCTTAGGGACCATAGGAACTTATATCAGCAAAATTTCTGCCCAAGTTTTTATTCTCTCTTTGCTATGACTTCCATGCATATTCTCTTTTTTGAACTTAAAAAACACACCATTTATAGGATGTTTTATAATCCATGAAGTACTGTCAGATTCATTACCTTATTCAATCCCCTACCATCCTCATAAGGTCAGCATTATCACTCCCATGTTGTAGAGGACAATACTGAGGCCTAGCTAGGTTCTGGAAGAGCTCCCCCTTTGCGGACTCCATGGAAGTGTGTCTTGGTGAAGGTTGAGTGGTAGTTTTCAGCATTGTATGTTACTGTTACCTCCCCACAACCCTTATGCTGCCTACCTTCCAGTTCCAACACTGGCTAATTTGAAAATTACCCCTTTACCTTGACATATCTCCAAGGGATATGTGAAGAATTTATCCCCAGATTGGGAGGTGTATCCAGGGTTGCAGGTACAGTCTGTGTTGTTGACACAAATAGCATTTTGGGGGCACTGAGGACAGGCGCCTGCAGGGAGAAGAGAGGTAGGTCAGATTCACCTGGGTCAAAAACTCTTGAGTTATTATCTGATTTTGCCTCTGAATAGGGCCTCTCAAGACTGAGGGAACTTGTATATGTTCCTTTTTGTTTCATCTCAGTACAATAAAAAAAAAAAAGTAGAGATACTATTTATATACCTTACAATGTGATCACTCTGATAAGCCTAGTACCCACCTGACACCATACATAGCTCCTAAAATATTGACTATATTCCCTATGCTCTACTTTACATCCCTGAGACTGCTTCATCCAGCCTGCTTTTAATTCTTTCCAGTGTATTTTTTGATGTCAGATATAGTATTCTTCATTTCAGACTGGTTCTTATTCATGGTTTCCATGCCCTTTTCATGCAGATGTAGTTTCCACTAAGTTCCTTGTAGTTCCCATTAAGTTCTTTGTAGTTCCTTGGAGCATCCTGATAAGCATTAATCTGAACTCTGTGTCTGATAATTTGCTTACCTCCATTTCACTTATGTCTTGCTCTGAAGACTTATCCCCTTTTTTCATTTGGGTTTATTTCTTTGTTCCCCCATTTTAGTTGTCTCATTGTGTTTGTTTCTATGTAATAGATGGAACTGCTATGACTCTCAGTTTTCATGGGGCAACCTTTTGTTGTAAATGTCCTGTGGGACCCAGTGGTGTGGTCACCTTGAACTCCTGAGCTGGACGTTCTAGGAGTGTCCCTTTTGTGGGTTATTTGGGCTCTCCTGATTGCTGTTGTTCTGTTCATGGATGGGATTTTTCTCTCAGGCTGGCTGACTGTGAGGCTCAACCCTGAACATGTCATGTGAGCTGTTGTACAGTGTGACTGTCAGATGAAGAGACAGAGAGCAGCATCCTGAACAAAGGAGTGTTTGTCTTCATGGAGTTTGGGGCCTGTTCCTGTATACAGAGCAGAAGATCTATAAGTTTGTGGCCAAATCCAAGAGAAATGCCCTTGGCCAGTCACATCATTAGGTGGGGCTGCCATCGGTACCGATCTTTGCCTTTGGAGCCATGGCTGAGGTTGAGGCCTTCACGTCTCCATGTTTCCAGTATGAGCAGAGGCAGTGGAATATCAAGTAGCCACCCTGGCTCCAGAGTCACACTCGCTTGACTTTTTATAACTGGTAATTTGTACTTCTTAACCTCTTTTCCCTTTTTACCTATTCCTTCTCACTCCCCAGCCCGCTTCTCTGAGGCAACCATCAGTTTGTTCTCTGTCTTTAAGAACTTGTTTCTGTTTTGTTTGTTCATTTATTTTGTCTTATGATTCCACATATAAGTGAGATCACATGACATTTGCCTTTATCCATCTGGATTACTTCACTTAGCATAATACCCTCTAGATCTATCTAGGTTATCACAAATGGCAAGATTTCATAAATGTCTAATCATTAAATTGTACACTTGGAACTAATATCTTGTATGTCAACTATATCTAAAAAATAAATTTTAAAAAATCTAAAAAATATTAAAATCACTGAACCCAAGTTGTAGAGACTGTGCATGATGTAGAATTGGGGTTGGCATTAAACAAATTAATGTTAACAAAAAAGAATTTCTACTAATGATAACTGTGTCATTCTCAAAATCATTGCAGGATTTATAAAAGGAGAATGAGTTAATTAAGACTTGGGACCCTGGGTTCAATTCTGGTTTTACTACTTAATACCTGTGTGTTTTTGCACAAGTATCTTAAACTCTCTGGCCTCAATTTCCTTATCTGTAAAATGGGTTATTGTGAGGAGTGAATTAATGCATTGTGCTGGGGACACGATGGGATCCCATTACGTAGAGCTTGGCTACTCAGAATGCATCACTTGGATAAAAATCTCAGAATCTCAGCAAAAATGCATATCATCACTCTATACCTTCTGAACCATAATCTAGTGAGATCTCCAAAGATTTAAAGCTAATCTGAAATGATCGTGTTCATTTTGTGTTGATGTGCTTATAATCAGAATGAAATGGTGACATCATGCTGTTTCTCCTCACTTGAGTGTTTACTTCAAGAGGCTTTTGTTTTATTCATTGTTCTATCTCCACATGGGATACATTGTGGGTACTAAAAGCAAACAAATCCACGAATAAAAGTAACATAAAAAGATAAATTAAAATATATACAAATTTGATACAATGATCAATTAAGAAAGAAACAGCACAGGAGCAAGCCTGCTCAAGCTCTGTCCCCCAATCACGCCTCTTTTTTGTTGGAGTACGTGGGCGTCCCCAGGTTCACCCTTAGTCTACCCCTCCCTGGTCTCTGACGATGGAAGAGGCAGGCTTTTTGCACTCACAGTTGGCCTTCTGAATCATGACTCCTGACAAACTCAGCAGAACGCAGAGTCCTGGAACAGGGAAAAGAGAGACATGAAGCTATTGAGAAAAGGTTTCAGGAAGTTCTCTAGGCGCTGTGTATCAGCTACCTATCACTGTAAAACAAACCGTCACAAAATGGAGCCGCTTAAAACCAACAACCTTCATTTTATTATGATTCCAGTGGGCCAGAGATTTGGGAAGAGCCTAACTGGGTGATTTTGACTAAGGGTCTTTCTTTCTTTCTTTCTTTCTTTCTTTCTTTCTTTCTTTCTTTCTTTCTTTCTTTCTTTCTTTCTTTCTTTCTCTCTTTCTTCCTTTTTTAAATGTATTTTATTGAATTTTTTACAGAGAGGAAGGGAGAGGGATAGAGAGTTAGAAACATCGATCAGCTGCCTCCTGCACGCTCCCCACTGGGTATGTGCCCACAACCAAGGTACATGCCTTTGATCAGAATTGATCTTGGGACCCTTGAGTTCGCAGGCCAACGTTCTAATCACTGAGCCAAACCGGTTAGGGCAGGGTTTCTTATTTTGTTGTAGTTGTGCAGTGGCTGGGGCTGGAGCGGCTGGGAACTATTTGGGCATTACTGTCCCTTCATGTGGTCTCAGGCCCTGAGGTAGTTTAGGCCTCTGTCTATATCTTTTTATTCATCAGGTTATAATGTTCTTTATTATCCAAAAATAAGTATTTTTTTCTTTCACTGACTGGCTTATTTCACTTAGCACAATGCTCTCCAGGTCCATCCATGCTGCTGCAAAATGGTAAGAATTCCTTCTTTTTGATAGCTTCTGATCACAGCCACTATCCCACTCAAGACGGTGTGGTCTCTGTGGCAGAGCTGGTCACTACGGGAGAGATTTCAGCAGCAGTGGAGGCTGCCCGATCAGTGGAGCCTGGTCCGGCAGTCCCTGACAGTCCCTTGAAATATAGTTCTCCCTCACTCACAAGTAGACACTCCCTGTATATCCACCCACTCTCCTTTTGTTCTCTCACTCACACACTGTCTTGCAGCCTGCCTTCCCTTCAGCAGCCATCTTCCTAAGTTTTCTTTATCTCCTCATCAGCAGGGCCCGATTCCTTAGGGGATAATCAGGGTGCAAGCAAGGTTACTACTGTGTTTCCCCGAAAATAAGACATCCTCCAAAAATAAGGCCTAGCGCATGGAAAGATAAGACATCCCCTGAAAATAAGACCTAGCGCAACTTTGGGAGAAAAACTTAATATAAGACACTGTCTTATTTTTGGGGAGACAGGGTACTCACCAGAGCTAAATGTATGCTACTGCACATTAAAGAGCTACGCTGGTGGTTCATATTGAAACATTTCTGCCTTGTTTGTCAGTATTCATGGCCAGAGCCAACTATAATAGTAAAACATATGGCTGCCAAGTGTTTCTCAGTTTCCTAAAACTCAGGCAGTCTGGGCCCTGTCACATTTCCTCAAGGTTAGTCTTTAGGGTTTTCTTTCTGACCCACCAGCACCACCACTCTTAATAATATGTGCATGCATCTAAAATTAGAGTTTCTGGAAAGTCATCAGTATGCCAGGATCTCGGAGCTCTAAGAGACTTTCGAAATCATCCACTGACTCTTTGGTCCTCAGTTGCTGTTTGCTCAGACACCAGTCAGTTGTGCAAATTTGGGTGTTGCCATTCCTGGAATTGTGACGTAACATAAATGAGGAAATACACAAAGTCTGGCAGAAATCTTCCATAAATGCCAGCTGCCTTAAGAAAAAAAAAAGGGGGGGGGGCAGAATGCTGGCTGCCTCTGTTATAAATTTATCATTTTATTTGCAAGAGAATCCTTTTCTAATTCTTGACCGGATGCTCATTTTATTTCACTACCTGTTACATCCAGTGATGAGGGCAGTGAGTTCATAGTTAATCAAAAGTCACAAATAATCCATCTCAGAATTGTCTAGGGCTCTGCCTCCAGTTGCCCCCAAAGCAGGAAATATCTTGCTCGGCATTCTTGCATTTAAATTGCATAGTCTCTCACTTAAATTAAATTCCACAGATATATAATGGACATCTCTTCTATGTGAGACTAGAAGTCCAATGCACGAAATTTGTGCAAAAGAAAAAAAAATATATATATACTGGGCCTTCCTTCCCCTGGATGCCAGAACCAACTTCCCTCTGGCACCCAGGACCCTGGCTTCCCTCACAGCCCCAGCTTTCAAATAGTCTATATTATTTTGATAGAATTTATGAGGTGTCTCTCCCTCTGCAAATAAATAACCGGGAGGCTTTAAGTCTATAACCTTTCCATAACGCCACTTCACATCTGTAATGTGAAGATGCTGTGTCATAATGAGTGGAAAACAATTTTAGCTTGATGCCAGGCTAACGCAAGTGCTTGATAAATGTAAACTATGATTGATTTTGTGGCTGTTGGCAGTTCTTTGACCTGGAGCCAGAAGGAGGGACTGAAATTCAGAGTTGGGGAAACTATCTACAAAGAAGTTGTGGTTGAAGCCACAAGGTTATGGGATTCCTTCAGGGAGAGGGAATAGACAAAGAGATGAAAACCGCAAGCAGAATCCCGTGGAAAGACTATTATAGCAAAGATTTGGAGCCAGGTGGCTTGGGTAGAATCCTGGCTCTGACATTTATAAAGTGTGTGACTTTTGACAAAGCAACATAACCTCTTTTTACCCATTTTCTCATCTGTATGGTGGAGATAATAATAGTATCTGCCCCACTTCTCAATTTTTGGGCCTATTGAGAGGATTATATGGGTTCATACATATAAGGTGCAGGTTAGTGTTCAAAAATATTGGTTGTTATTAATAACATTCTTGGTACAGGAAAAGGAAAAGAATTGGGGGAGAAAGAATAGCAAGAGAGGCAAAGAACGAGTTAGGGCAGTGCTAGGCCAAAGAAGTTGTCAGGAAGGAGAGAATATCAGTTAAAAACCAAAACCTGTATAGAAGAAGATGAACAACTCACTGGATTAGACCATTAGAAAAAATTTAGGGATATTTGGGAGCATTGTTTAAAAAAGGCGGTGAAGGAGGAAACCATAATTTAAGAGGAAAGGGGAGTGGTCAAAGAAAAACAGAGAAAAGAGAAGAAGGAAAAGACAGTTAATTGTTAAACCGAGTAGCTTCTGAAAGGGGATAGGTTAAGATACAGTAATGGTCAACGTTACACATACCTTGAAGAAGTGATGGCCCTCTCATTCCTGCATGCGGGTAATCCTTGACAGCCAGCTCTGAAAGCTCTGTACTGTGTGCTGTAAGCCAACCACTTTCCCTGTGTCAAGGTCAAATGACTAGGGAAATTGTTATCAGAAAAATGAACTTCTCATTTTTCACCATCAGACCTTGGTTCTGTTTTTTATTTGTTTATTTTCTATGCACAGACTTAGGAAATTGTTCTCAGAAAAGTGGAACTTCTCTTTTTTCACCATCACACTCACAGAATCCCCTTGCCAGCTTGGTCACCCCCAATCCCCCCCCCCCCTCCCCCCAGCTTGGTTGCCTCTTACTGCCCCCTGCCAGCCTGGTTGTCCCCAATGGCTCCCTCTGCTGGCCTGGTTACCCCTAAATCCCCTCTCCTGCCCCTGCTGGCCTGGTCACCCCACACAGCCTGCTTGTTCAGTTGTTTGGTCATCCCTTGGGCCAGCCCTGGGTGACTGGGCAGCTGCCATTCGAGGCTTGCCTGTGCCTCAGGCTGGCTCTGGGCTGCTGGGGGGCTGAGGGGCTGGGGGATTCTAGAGGCAGGCATGTGGAGTAGCTGGACCTGTCTGGGGTGGATGCCACGTGCCTGCTGCCCCAGGGGGGCTGAGAGGACTGGGCACCACTATCTTGTAGCTGCGGGTGCCGCCTTATTTGAGGGAGTGACAGTCAATTAGCATATTCCTTCTTTATTAGATAGGATTCCCACCCAAGGATATGTTTTTGTTGATCCTAGAGAGAGACCAAGGGGGAGGGAGAAAAGGAGAAACATTGATGTGAGAAACATCCATTGGTTGCTTCCCATATGCACCCTGACCAGGGATCAAACACACAACCTCGGTATGTATGTGCTCGGTATGGGAATCTCACTCGTAGCCTTTTGATATATGTGACAATACTCCAACCAACTGAGCCACCCAGCCAGGGCACAGGGCTCTGCTTTTTATTTGTTTACTTTCTATGTCTTTCTGCACTTGTTTTCTTTTTTAAAAATTGAATTTATTGAATGGCATTGGTTCACAAAACCATAAGATTTCAAGTGTACAATTCAATAAGACATCATCTTGCACCCATTGCCCCAAGCAAAGCTGCTCTCTATACCCATTTTCTCCCTTTTGTCCACTTTCACCCACCTCTCCCCCCTGCCCCTTTTCTTCTGGATATCCACCATATTGTTGTTTGTGTCTTTGTGTTACATATATATGTCTTTCTTGCTTAATCCCTTCACATTCTTTCAACTAGTACCCCCACCCTGCCATCTAACAGCTGTCAGTCTGTTCCATGTATTCATGCCTCTGTTTCTATTTTGCTCATTAATTTATTTTATTAGATTCCATATATAAGTGAGATTATGGTATTTGTCTTTCTCTGGCTGACTTATTTCACTTAGCAAGGCCCATCCATGCTGTGGCAAAAAGTAAGATTTCCATCTTTTTTTTTTTATGGCCAAGTAATATTCCATTGTGTAAATGTACCACTGCTTTTTTATCCAATCATCTACTGATGGGTACTTGGGGTGTTTCTAGATCTTGGCTATTGTAAATGCTGCTGCAATGAACATAAGAGTGCATGTATTCTGATGAATTAGTGTTTTGGGTTTCTTAGGATAGATCCCCAGAAGTGGGATTGCTGGGTCAAATGGACCTCGGTTTTTGCGTTCTTGAGGGAAATATTTCAATCAAGAGACAAAGTGTAGAAAATCAAGCAAGGATTTATTGACTGCAGCAAAAACATTCTTAGGACCGTGAAATAAGGAAGGCCACAGAAGAAGCAACAGGAGAACTGAGGCTGGGCTGCTTTGGCTCACTGGGAAGTCAAAGAAAGGGGGCCTTAGAGACAAGTTCAGGTTAGCCAGGGACAAGATGCTGCCACCCATTGCTCCCTTGGTTGCAAGTCTCATGAGGTCCCTTAGAGGCTAGTGGATACGTGCCTGTGGGGGGAGGAGAGGAGCAGGGGAAGGGAATGACACAGGCTTGCTCCCTGGAGGGAGAACGCACTGGGACTTTCATTTTCAGGGGTTTCAAAGGCTGGGTGTTTAAGAGAGTTCTTAGGAGTGGATCAATAGAAGATTCATGAATTTTATGCTGATATACCAAAATGAGCTTTATTTTCTTAATTTGTCTGTCTTTGGGTGTGGTTGGCAAATGGCACTTAATTGGATTTCTACTATTTGTCTCCTTGAATAGGGCGATTTAATCTACCAACACTGGTTGGGGAGAAGTGCAAACCATTTATTCTTAAGTGCCTTTAGTTTAAGAAAGATAGGATTTACTAGGTGGCTGCAAACTGCTGTTTAACTGTCTGTCTTGGTGTCCCTATTCCACTTCTCCTAGAATTTTCCTAGTTGCCTATTATATCATTATCCAAACTACATAACAAATGCATATTAATTTATTCATTTTTTCCTGAAATTTAATAAGAGTTTATTTGAGCCAAACTAACAAAATATGCCAGAGAGCAAGATCTCAAATGCTTTGGAGAATAACAATTTTGTAAATACATATTTTTTAAAAATTAATTTTTTTCAATTAGTTGACATACATTATATTAGTTTCTGATGTACAACATAGTGATTATACATTTCTCACTATGTTGTACATCTGACTACATAGTTATTATAATATTATTGACAATATTGCCATACTTCACATCCCCATGACTATTTTATAATTACCAATTTGCTCTTCTTATAATTCCTTCTCCTTAACGAATACATAATTTTAAGGAGGAAGAGTCAGATTTCCTATCTATTGTCTTGAACAGTTTTTCATATCTTATTTTGGAGAGAAAGGCAAGTTGTAGAATAAATAAGATACAGTTATGGGCCTCGTAATGATGGGGATGCATTCTGAGAAATACATCAGAGGTGACATCATAGAGTGCACTTTAACAACCTACATGGTATAGCCTACTACACATCTTGGCTATATGATGTAGACTATTGCTCTGTAGAGGAGAAAACATAATTTCCTCTCTGCTGGGTTCTTGACAAGATATCTCTGTATTAGAAGATTAACAAGAGAAAAAGAAACAAAAGTTTAATAACATGTATACTTCCTAAATACATGGGATAGACTGTAAAACTGAATAACTCACCAAAATGGTTAAAGTCACCACCTTAAATACCACCCTTAACTAAAGACAAAACAAGATATTGGGGGTGGGAGGAGTCAGTTATGGGAGGTTACCAGGAAAAGCATAATTAACAGATTTTAAATCTTTTTTTTTTTTTTTTTTTTTAGTTGTAATAGAAAGGACTTTATTTTTAAGGAAAATTCATTCAGCCACTGATTATAGAGTCATTTCTCAGTACTCCTTATCTTCCTACGTAAGAATCTGAAATACAACATGATTAGGATAATGCAAAAATAAGAATCGCTGGTTCATCACCTAGGGAACAAAACACACTTAATTGCTTGACACTTTATTGAACGCAAAGCAAGATTAGGTGTCTTTGCCTTCCTGGTAGAGCTGAAGCAGGAGCCCAGAGAGGGGAAGACGGCACAGTTTTCCTTTGTGGGGAGATGTGCGCCCCCTGTCATCTCATCTTGTTGTCGAAACACTAACCCATGTTCTTTCGGTTGCCATAGCCCCTAGGATGGGTGTCCTTCCAGTCATCCCACTCCCGAGCTCGGTGGAGTGTTTGCTCATCATCCTCTTCCTCCCTTTGTTCTTGATCTTCTTCTTGTTGAGCTGCTCGTTTGGCCTCTGATGTTGTTCTGGCTATTCCCTGGTCTGGTAAAGTTCCCAGCTTCCGATGCTGCTCATACCAGTCATTCACTGTCATGGTTGCCAGACTTGGATAACCAGCTCCAAATACTTTGGCTTGGGCTGCATCCCGAGTGAGAATGAAGGGTTTCATTGGAGGCCTGGACGGGCGAGATGAGTGAGAAGTTGATGCCTCTTTTGAAGAGTCTTTTCCTCTCAGGATATTTATCTCCTGGTCAATGCTCTCAATCTCTTCTAAGCAGATACCAATCCACCTTCGAAGGTGAAGGAGGTAATATTCACGAACATGCTCATCATCTGCTTTACCACTTTCCACAGCAGATTTCATTTCTGACAACCTATGCTCCATCTCCTTCTTCTGCTTGTATCTCTCTATTTTAGCCTGTCTTTGAGATGCCATAGCAACGAGGCTAGGATGGGCCATGGAGGAACTTGCTGTGTTATTTTCAGCTGAGTTGTTCTTGGTTTTGGGCAACTCAAACTCTGCCACGTGATAGTGCTGGCACTGAGATAAGTAGTTTAAAAAGTGTTCGCGAGCCCATTGCAAATGATCTAAGCGCTTGCTGGAGTTGCCTTGTTTCATGGCGAAGGCTCCTTGAAATGCTGGCACCATCAGGTACTTCAGGTCGGTGGAAGCAATCTCTTCCAAATCTTCATTTCGGCTGAACAAGTCGAGCTGCGCTAACATTTCGGCGGCCTGCTTAAGGTGCTGGAGTCCTTTCGAGACCTTCTCTTGGACTTCCCGGGAGCCGGTGGGCTCAGACGCTACTTCCACTTCGTCCAGAAGCCGCCGGCTGATATCAAACAGCTCGGGTAGCCGTGGCAACAGTAACTCGTCGTCTTCTTCGGCCGCGGCCATCTTGAGGGAGGGAGAAACACGGAAGACCCAGATTTTAAATCTTTGTTTTCTGCATTGATAAGAGTTTCCTGAGATAAGGAGGGAGACACCCTTACAAACGGAGGTTTCCCTTACTAGTGTAAATGTCTCTTACAATGAGTAACTCCTACTTGGTTTTCAGAGACATTATTTTTGTATCACAAATTCTTTCCCCTACAGCTACAAACCCGCACAGCATGTTACTGTACTGAACACTGTAGGCAATCTATAACAATAAAAGGGTAATATGCTAATTAGACCAGTCGTCCTTCAAGGCATCATACTGGATATTCTTCTGGACGAAGCTGGGGTTGGAGCAAAGTCTAGGTCCTGGGTGCCAGAAGAAAGCTGGTGCTGGCAGCCGGGGGAAGGAAGGCCTACTCTTGCACTGGGCCTCTAGTAGTAACATAAAATAGTATTTGAGTAATGCATTGCGCTAAAACATGAAGCCAGCTAGTAAGTCACAAGGGATAGGGATTTTCCAGCTCCATTAAAATGTGAAGGAACCACCG